CGGCGAAATCCCTGCCGGATCCTGGCAGATTTGAGTGGGAATCATGCCGTCTTCTGGTGTTATCCGGTGCCGGTTCCGACGGATCCCGACTGAATCCGGAGGCAGGATGGAGTGACTTGGGTAAATGTAAATAATAATTCATTAACTTTATCAACATCGAATGCAACTAATAATTCACTTACTTTATCAACATCGAATGCAACTAATAATTCATTAACTTTATCAACATCGAGTGCAAATAATAATTCATTGATCTTATCAGCATCGAATACAAATGACAATTTATTGGTTCCGTCACAATCAACAGGTAGCATAATATTCCTAATAGAAAACAATGCCAGTATAAAAGATTTCAATTATATTTAGAAAACAATCGTTCATTAGACGCTATTGAAACAATAGTAAAGAAATATTTTTCTCAATCGTCAACAAAATGTACAAAAGGGAAGAAGCGTGTGGTTTCAGGAGCAAACGGTAGAAGTGTAACAGACCTTGACGAGTTTGCATTGACAACAATTAAAAAGAAAAAAACTACTGAAGCTAAACTTACCAAGAAAAATAATTCGAAGAAAACGAACGCTACACAGAAACAAAATGTAAGATCAACTACAGATATTTATAATGCTAATGGAACAAATATAACAGATTCAACAAACGCAACAAATGTGACACCTGATGGTATTCATAATGGTTCATTACCACCTATTACTTATATGTTACCATCTAATACTTCTCAAATGATCTCAACATATTCATCAAATTTTGGATCATATACTCCTTTACATAATTTATCGACAATGCCTCCTACACAATGTCAGTTATGTTTTCATTTCATAAAACCATTAGAAATGACTAGTAACTGCAACCAATGCCATAGAATTCTTTGTTGGGAATGTAGCAGCAAAATCGACAGAACCCATCAACTTTGTCAATCATGCCGAACGTATTATACAAATCAACAACAAACTTATTTTAATTATAATCCATAGTAATAAGTGATCTTCAGAGATTTTGTTAATAGTTATCGAGAATTTCTCTAGAAAATATACCAATAATCGTTATGATTCTTACTGAAAATAGTACTGACCTAGTTTTTCCTCATTCGACTAATTTGTGGTCATCGTCTTTTGTACATTTTTTATTGTTACTTTTCGTTTTCGATGTCTATTTTATTCATTGTTCTTGTCCTTACTTCAGAAAATGAACTTCTTTCAGTAAAAATACAACTATTAATAGGAACTTTATTCTATTCATAAAAATTACGACACTGTAATAGATTCTGATTGAAAAAAAATTAAAAAATACCCGTATTTCTATGTGAAGTAAAAAGAATACTAGTATTTTTCTTGAAAAAGTTTTTATTATAAATAGGAAATGATCTCACATTACTTCACAACTATAGAGAAAAAAATTCTATGTATTATTGGTAGCAGAATTCTTTTTACTGGATATATTTTTGACTTAAAATATTATTTGGAAAAAATTTGAAAATTCTATACTGTTTTTTACTTATTTATTCAATTACCCCCAAGTTTATCATTATCTATGCAATTGTCCCAAATGGGATAATTGAAAAAAATTCCTATTGAATTTCCTAACGATTTTATCAAAGCACAACTAATCTAAATTGAATTATCTAAATGAAAAAATGTTACCGATTATAGAGGCTGATCGTCTGTATCAGTATATGAAAGAATTACTAATAAATATCATCTAATTAATGAAAAAAGTTAATTATAATAATGCTGTATGAAATACATGGATTTATCCAATTTCCCCGTCGTCCTAGCGTATCTATCCAATTGCCCCTGGTGGGGTAATGGGAGAACATCAGATGGGGCAACTGGAAAACAGATAGGAAATAGATCCTTGTAACTCCAGCAAAGATAATTTTTTCACAGGTCGATAGAGAATCAGTTACTCTATCTGCATGCTGAATCTTGTGAAAAAATATTCAAATAGATAAAAATGATACCGAAAATTAAAAAAAGAATTGAAAACATATATCCAATTGCCCCACATCACTCTACAACAAAATCGAGTCAGTTTCAATATGACTGAGCAATTGATCACAGTGATGAAAACGATATCAGTAATCAATCTCTAGTGGTGAACAATCATTTCTTTTTTTATTGTTTTGTCAATGTTGACATAACAAAATTTTGAAATCGATACTTGTTCTTTTACTTTCATTATGTGTTAGAAATTTCATTCGTTCTTCTTTAAAAGACAATCAATTATAGTTACATAGTTACTTTCATTTGTTTAAACTATGAAAAACATAAACCAAAGAAAAAGAGAACAAAACAGAAAAAAACTGTACAACAAACTAGACAATATAATATTTGGAAGACTTGAAGAAATAATTTTTGAAAAATTAAAGCGATTTGCATTCAAGTAAGAATATCATTTATTCTTTGTATTATGCGTTTGTATCAATTATGATTTATCATATATGAATAGAACAAAAACAATAGCAAAATTCTTACTATTGCTATTTTCTTCTGAATGAACGTTTCAAACAGTGCTTTTGTTAAATTAATTTTTTTCTTAGATAATCATTGTGTATGGGTTCCGGTTCAAGCAAAAGACAGGCGAATAAACATACTCAGTTCCCATCACCAAAATCGAGGCCATCTGCGGGTAACTATTTATTATATTCAAATTATTATGTCAATCATTTTTTCATATAAATATCTAGATGTACGGCCAAGAAGACATGCACCTGTAATATCGCATTCCCAGCCAGAAACAATAGATGTAGCCAGTCTCAACGACATTGTTGAAGAAGTCGATTTTTCATCAATTATTGAGGCGGAAATTAAAGTAATGTGTAGTTTTTGTTTTAGAACGTCTCATTTTAAAGGCGAAAAATGTAAATTTGATTTTAGAAAAAATGTTCAGAATCCTCTTATTAGATCTTGAGAAATTCGTTGGATACGAAGATCAGAGGAATAAAATGTATCTGATGCTAATGCGAGTCACGATTTAATACATTCAAATTTAGTTAAAAGATAATATATAATTATTTCAGTTTTATTTTATTTTCTTAAAACAGTTAATATGTTCATGATGAGTTCACAAGTCGGAATTCAACAGGAATACATTTCTGTCAAAGGCGTGATCAGAGAATTCGGCATTTTGCATAGTGATATAATGGAATATCTATCGTTTTGTTTTTGTTTTTGATAAAAATAGAGGGTAAAAAACCCGCAGAATAAAAATCATGCTAAAGCAATTCTTCTCAACTTAGAAAATATATCCACGGATTAGTTTTTATGCAAAGGTAACAGAATTGCCTGCATCTTTGTGATGAAAACTTTTATAATATCGCCTGATATGCGAATTTTTCATCACTATAACCTACTAGACAATATGCTGAGTTCTCTATCGAACGATGTTTTCTTAAACTATGACAGAAACTTTATATGACAGATTTCGAGCTAAATTAATTTTTGCTTCTGAAGTTTATTTGGTCGCTGAAGGATTTTTTCAATCGAATTCTTGCACTAAACATCAAGTTATTTCTTGTAAACTCCATCACAATGATATATAAAAAATCCGAAGTAGCTTTTTACTGTTAACATGTTCATTTTTTGTAGAAAATAAATCATCTCACACAGTACACTTTTAGGAAGCCCAGAGATTTTAACAACCAATTCAACAAGAATAAGAGATTATTTTGTGCTGAACGTTTTACTACATTCGAAACTTGACCAGACCTATTTAAAGTGAAGCAATGGCTGATATTGCCGAGTCATATTGAGGAATTTTTCCGCTTAGGTTTTTCTGTACTACTTTTACAGTTGTCAACTTCTATTGACTTTTTCACGATTGATTGAATACTTTTTGTCTTATAGTTAGATCCAACTACTACAGGTGTGTCAACTGAAGGTTCATTGAGTACTGCTAATCTTCGACAGAAAGAATCACACGAAATTGGGTGGCAAGAAAAATATTTTGTTCATGGAGATTCTTCAGATATTGTGGCCGATGTGCAAAGCCAAGTTCATGGTTGTGTATGCTCATCTGTTTCAGAAGACATTAATGTCTACATATCCAGTCTTCATAAAATTAGTATGCAATCAGATGAGATTCTTAAACAACGATTATCCATGATGACATCAGTCGAAGCGGCAACTATCACTAAACTAGTTCAACAACGACAAATTCTCATCGAGCAAATAATAAAAAAGGGTGCTGACGAAATGGATAAATCTGAAGGGCACTACCGAAAGATAATAGAAGAATTCATAGCTAAATTAGAAGTCGAAATGTCGAAGCATTTGGATGAATTACAAGCACGAATGGAAGATGAAAAAACAATGGTTTTTGAAAGTTCACATGATAGCTTGCAACTGCTAGCAGTAAACGTTCAAGAAGCTAAAGCTAAACTTCTTCGAACAGTAGAACTTTCTACTACATCAAAACGTCAAGAAATATTAAGACAAATAGTCCAAGTTTCCTCGGATACGAAACGTCAACTGATTGGTTATGAACAATTAAGAAAACTTAATATGGACATTTATTCTACTGTTGGCACTAAAGAAGACGTGCAAGGGTGTGATAAGATAACGGATAGAAACAAATATAAAAAACTCATTAATGATGCTAAACCGCATCAACAAATGAAAAGAACTCTTTTTCTTGGAAATAATCCCAATGCCTGATGAGGGCATCGTCAATGAGCACAATTAATGATTGATAAGAGTTCGTGGAAAATACTTTTAAACTTTTTTTTATTATATTTTAGACTTTCATTTGATTAAAATTATCACTCGTATGCATAATTCATTTTGATTTTGATTGCAGAATCGAAGTAAACAAAGACAAGCCTTGCTATGCATGAAGAGTTTGCAAAATAAAACAATCTATCATACTGATTCTACTTAGGAATACTCTATGAAGTATAAACTAAGTTTTCCTTTGTTAATGAATATAATCTTTTGTCTACAAAGAAATCTTATTGCAACTAAAACCATTAACTATTGAGAGTAAACATACAACTATCACCTGGTTTTTCATATCATAAAGATAAAAAGTTGTTTCCATGCGTAACAATAACTTGAGCGTAGCAATGCTTCTCTGTCTTCTATTTATTTTAATAGATGCATGAAAAATTATATTAAGTAAATTGTTCTGAGAAAAATTAAAACTACAAATCCAAGTTTATCAATAAAATCGAAAAATATTTCCTATCCTATTTTCTATCTATAATTAATGTTGATTAGTAGTCATCAATGTGTAACTTTTTTTCACCTTCATCGTAACCATGTGAAATAAAAACACAGCAATATGTACGTAATACTTGATGTGTCGCGTATAAAACAATGGTTGTAGTTCATAGAATTATATGAAGAGAAAATGCTTTTCAAGGTGAGTAAATATGGCATTAGTATATAATGATTGAATACTAACGCAATCGGTCGCATTCAAACATCTTAATTTTGACAACAAATTATTCGTTAGATCATCGAATTTACTTTATAATATTAATTAAATCTATTGCGAGAAGTTGCCATAACCATGACATTGAAATCGTGGATATGTTCTGTATTGAATATAGAGATGCCTTGGATTTTTATTCACTTCTCTTTTTATCGACTGTCTCATCAATGTATTTATTCCATGTGACTGAAAAGTAAGCAGATGAAAAAAGAAAAGCATATTCTTTTACAGTTTGAATTTCTTTTTTTCAATGCCTTTTGCTGTTTTTTCTCTCTCTCGTTTTCTGATCGACGATCACTTTAAACAAGCCTATGCATACATATACAATTCATGCTGTAGTAAGAAAAAAATACACGTCCATAAAATTGTATTTCTATTTCGAATAATATAAAAGTTTTTTTTTTGTTTAGATTTTTCACATTAAATAATATGCGTCGCGTTTCGATACGTCTAATTGTTTCGGCTATTGCATTATCAGTGTGTTTTTTTGTATTGATATTTATTATTATTAATGTTAATGATCATACGGAGCATCTCGAACTGCCACCATATAAATGTGAATGCCCATTGGTAGTGGAGCCTGGTTCGAAGGCAGAAAAACTCGTTGTTCCAAAAATAGAAGCACCGTCTATCTCAAAAATGGATACTGCAAGTAACAGCACGCAAACAATGCCACCGTTGCCTATTTGCAGACCAGTTGATAAAAGTCAACCCGTACAGCGAGCAATTATTATTTATTATCCACATCATCAAAGTGAATATTTTTTTCCCGAAGTCAGATGGTATGTGCAAACTATTAATTAAGTGAATACACAAAGGAAAAATGAATTATTTCTACTTTAGGCTCTATCGTTCTTGGGCGGAAATGTTACGTGATCAACCGCCGACATGGCGCACAGATTTTCTTATATTTTCATATAATCTTTCAATAGAATTTCAAAGACTTGGATGTGTTAATCATATTCGAAAAACTAAAGACGAACCATCGGTGTGTCGTCTTTTTCTCTATGTTCCAATACAATTTCGAGTAAAAGCTGTCACCGAAAATAATTACCAACACGCATTTGATCATATCAGAGATTTCTCTAAAACGACAAATCAGAAAATCGAAGAAATAGTTACCTTACCTAAAACAAACGATCCCATGATATATGATGTTAGACGTTCTGAAAATCTATATACGCATCTTCGAACATATGGATATATTGATTCAATCAACACAATCTTTGAAGGTTACAAAACATTCAAAATGTACGATTTTGTGTTAAGAACTGATATTGGTAAAGAAAATGATTCGCCAATATTAGCAGTTTACTAAGAGAATTTTATTTAGATGTTTTTATTTATCGTCATTTTGGACACTATATTCCTGCAAATTGTACTCTAATAACTGGTGGCGGTGGCTATGGTACGGATTTTAACCGAAGGAAATTGAGACGCATTGCTCGTGATATGGACTTTGCACATGTTGGCCTATCTGGCATGGGTTCAACATGGTTCGTTTCATATGTAGTCTGGAATAGAGTAGAAGTTTTTAAGCTTTATTTGTAGGTATGGATCAGCTTATGATGGATATTTGGTTGCTAATCAAACATTAAATGGCATGCTTTGGTTAGCACAATATGAATTCGCTACACCAGAACGAGAGTCAAAATTAGGTACATTAATGTGGCCACAATGGTAAATTTCTATTTAAATAAATTGTTTCAGAGTGAATGAGTTTTGTATCGTTAGGCGTCGTAAATCTTTCGAGAGAAAAGAAAATAAATAATGTAACTCGTTGCATCCTGATTTTCGATAGTTTTTCTAGTGAGATAATTCTTTATGAGCTACGGATTTTCATTGTAAGTTTTAACTGATAAGTGTTCAGAAGAAAATACCACTTTTATGCTTTTTTCTGTGAATAGAATCGTATTAAAACGTAAATTCTACTTTTTTTAATTAACAGGCATTACGGTGTTTTACTTCTCTATGGTCAACATTTAGCAATTAATCATTTAGTTGGTACAAATCAAATTCGAATTCGAATAGGTTCTGATCTTCTCGATCAATCAACAACAGATGCTACGACACCATATGTTCAACAAGGCACACGTCTTAATCTTCATTGTTGGCATACAGATAACCGTTTTTCTAAATTCGCATTTAAAATGGGTCACTATAAGCAAGCGGAATTGGAAAAATACCGAAATGACACGACAGCACAAGCTTATGTAAAGGACGAAAATCTTTTATTTACTTAACAAATTTGCTTTTTATTTTTCTATTTAAGGCAATGCGAATGGCTCTTGAATCTAAATATATGACACTTGAACATATGGCAAGTTTGGTGCAAAATATTTCAACATCATCTTAAGAAATATTGAACTATTTTCTCGTTTTATTGTCGTAGTCGGAGACTAGAATATTTTAATAGAGTATCAATGTGAACAACGAATACCTTAAAAAATAAAATAAATATTTGTACATCCATGTAGGCATTTGAATGGCTTTTTTTTCATCAATTGTTAGCTCCGAATTGTTTATAACTGACAGAAATTTTGAATAATCCATAACATATGTTAGTTTTTCAATATTATAGGTTTATGAAGACGGATGAGGATGCCGACATTCTCATCGTCACATCCGTACCTAAGATTTTCATAAAAAGATGAATTTAGAGATTTTCTTTAATCACAATATATTTATTGTCAACAAGAAGAATTGATCAATCATGACAATAGCAATGAAACTCGGAAATGAGCTATATCATATTTAAGTAACTATCGATTTAATATAGTTTAGTGACATCAAGAAATTCAATAAATGAAAATACTAAAGTCAATTCATTTGTAGATATTGACAATGGATGATTTAAAGGAGCAATCTTATCGTTCTTTTGTATAAATAAATAAAAAATACGTTAATCAATTTTATTTTCTATTTAGTGTTTGTGAAATTAAGAATGAGATCGTTATCATTCTGCTAAAACTATATGAATCAACTTATTGACTTTGACGGTATCAATTCGATAGAAGATAATTTAAAAGAAAAATTGCTGATCAACTAAACCTTACATTGAATTTCATCTTACGTTATCAAATTTTTCGATTTGCGCATATACATCGTTATTAAATCATATTTTTCTGTAATTGCTATTAGTATTCATTTTACGAATTATGCGTATCTGAATTCCAGAAAGCTTCAAAACAAGTTGTCCTTTGTTTTTCTATTAGTCGTGAGTTTTAAAGTATTTCAACCAATTAAATATTTTTTCCAATAAGAATCTCTATTAAGTCAAATGAGTATACATAAAGAAGAACATCGAAAAGTCGATTTTCTATTTATTCGAGCGCTATATGAATTATTCTACTCGACAACAAACACTATTCAACAATCAAAGCGGCAGAAGCTTGTTTCATGTTGATGTTCCACGTCCAATGTTATTGTACAATATACTCTAGTTACATACCCAAGTACATTGAAAACATGGATTGAAAATATCAAAGTTACTACGTATAATAAACATTTATTGTATTCGAAGTTTCATTTCAAAAGAAAATAAGTACGATTCCATGGATTCTAGTGTATTTGCCAATGATATTTTAACTCAAGGACATGTAAATTTGAAAAGTATTCAACAAAAAATTGGTTGATTTCTAGATTTTAGGCTTTCAGAATGGGATTCGAATTTTGATTGACGACATCAAAATAACATGGTCAGCAGCTACAAAATGTTCAAAATAAATCATTTCCTGTAGCTTTTTTTAAATGGGCTGATTGAAATTTTTACACGGAAAAACATATCAACCGCTATAGAAATAATAGAGAAAAAAGATGAACCTTTTCTTAAATAGAATTCGATTCTCAAATCGTTCTTTATATTAGAAATGTTAAATTCGCAATTACAAACGGTCATCCCTTACGGATTTATCACAACAAATGAGCAACTCACTAGTTTATCAGTATCGCTTTTAATATTCACAATTTCTTTGCCTTTTTCTTAAATTTTTGGATAAAGTTCACAGCGAAATAAACCCTTAGTAGTGATTGAACGTATATAATCAAGAAGACCTTTAATTTTTGTTTATTCCACCCATATTTGAAAAAGGCATAGATATGATTTATATTAATAAATGTTTACTATATATTTTAGAGAATTGAATAACCTAAGGTCATCAGTATTTTATAAGAGATGCAATAGATAAAAAGTCACCCGAAAGAAATCAGTGGTTTAAAGTAGCTAGCACATCTTTGGCGCAATATATTTTGTCATTATGTTTATCGATCGAGTAACCAATCATTAATAGGTATTGTCAGTTGATAGTACAGACAAAGAAAAAAACAGACGTGATCAATATTGTTATTGCAAAATAGACTCAATGATGAAATATTATGTTCGATAGGTGAATAGAGAATGTGTGCAGAGGGAATAAATTAAGCAAGTTGCTTTTTTTTATCATACTAAGACGACCAATCCATTCCCGTCTTACCTTTATAAAAGTTCGAATGAAAACATTGTTATTCAACTGAAACTGCGTGTGCAGTCACGTGATGTATATATGCATATAACTGGAGGAACAAATCTTGTATTTTTTGTATTTTGTATTTTTTATTCACAAAAATATTTTGAATATAATTTTGCGCTCGATTGGCTCGCTGATTCATTTTACCCTATGAATAAGGTAAATATTGTCGCAAACCGATGTTTACAGTTTGAACATGTGAATCTACATTTCGATACCACACTACAAGTAGCCATTCACTGTGATCAACAACAAAATGTACATTTAATCACAATCATAACTTGAACTAGACAACTAAGAAAAATCGTATTCTTCACAATAATCAAAACGATTTTTATGTAATTCATTAGTCGACGATTATAAATAATGTTGAACTTCTGCTTTAGAAAAAGTAACGTCTACGAGTTTCTTGGAATCGCCTTCATGTGATGAATCATGCAGGAGGTCATATCTTTGAATTTTTGCTTTCAGTATTGATGTAACTATATGACATAGATACAACTGAGCTGTGCCAAAGAAAAATTATATATGTTCGAAAAGAATATTCCGAAATTTATTCTATCAATTTTTACACAAAATTTGACAAGTTAAATGAATCTTAGAGTATTAAAACTATTCAGCTTATAGCGAAAAATGCCACCCGTGGTACATTATTGACTTCTCCATCTACTTGTACTTGATTCTCCATTCGAAGCTTAGCTTGTCTTTTGAAAATAAATCGAAGAAGTAAAGTAAGAATCATGCAGACAAAAATTAGAGTTGCCATTGTAATATGAATTTGGCGGAAATCAGGTACACTATTTCCATCGTTAATAAACGGTATAATCACTCCACCGATTTGAGCAAGTCCAACGACGAAGGATATTACTAATGTTCTTCTTATTCGACCACTTACATTGATAGTTAGCCATGCCATTAGTAAAGCAAAAGTCGCATATGCGCCCGAGCATGCAAAGCATCCACTCACGTACACGACCACTGTGCTAGATCCTTCAAAGGCAGCCATGAGAGCGAAGCCAATAACTGAAATAATTTCAAAAACTACCATATGATATCCATGCCCATTGAATCTTGCCACTGAAAGGCCACCGACCAGGGCGAAGACACACGCCAACGCATATGGTGGAGAGTTCATAAGTAATCCGCTAGCACCGGTGTAGCCTATATATTTAACTAGACTAGGAAAATATGCTATCCAATATTTTGTCACGGCCGAATTTCCAGCACATATAGCCGCAAATAGCCAGATCTTACCACTACTTAAGACGCTGCATATATCACACCACTGCACGTGATGTTTTTCTTCAGGCTCATTAGCATCTGGTTCCATTTCGTCACATAAATTATTAATCAGAATTTCTCTTTCAGCTGGTTGTAAAACTATTCATGAAAAAAGAGAAATTACTACAAAATTCATTTTGAGAAGCTCACATCGAAGAGGATTCGAGATTTTGTCAAGAAAGAGAAAAGTGGTTATTCCAAGAAGAACAACTGGAATACCAATAAGAATAAAGAGCCATTGCCAGCTCTCTAGACCACCGATTCCATCCATTTTCTCGATGACGAAAACCTATTCGGATGAAAAGTTGTACATAATATTTTCAACTCAATCTCCGTTGAAACTATTCCTGCTTATAGAAATTATTAACGTCACTCAAAAATAATCTTGAAATCAGCTGAGAAGCTTTCATACGTACCAGAATAGCAGCTACAGCTGCTGATGAAATAGCTGCTATATAGAAGACGACTATTCGCATGGTTAGGAACGTTTTAGGATAACATCTTGATAAATAGGCTAACATGCCTGGAAAGAAACCTGAAATCGCCATTCCCTGTTGAAAATTTCACTAAGTTATTCAGAGATGGAGCAGAAATAAGGATCAGTACCAACAGAAATCGTAGAACAAGTAGTAATGGAATATTTTTGGCAAAACCCATACCGATACTCAGTGATCCCCATACCAACAAAATGATAGTCAAGTAGATAGTGGTTCCCGTATAAAGGATCAAAAGTGCCGAAGGGACAGTAAATATAAACTAGAATAGGCCAGATATATATATATGTATATAGAATGTTGATATCAAGATTGCCGTCGCTTACATAGCCAAGATACATAAGAGCAACAGACCAATCGCCTTCAGTCGGAGATAAGCTTATATCCTGATTTAGACCAAGATTCGTGACATATCCTATGTAGAAGCAAGTGCGAAGTTACATATGATTTGATTTTTGATGAAACTTACCCATGCAAGCTCGATTCAAATAAGAGAAGAATTCAAGTATACATGCGAATAGCATTATCCGTACGTCAAGTTTACGGATGATATACCGATGGCAATGTTCAAGAGACATTTTGATGCTCTGTAAGAAAAAAAATAGCCTCATCATAGATATGATTTCAACTAGTAAATGTGAAGCTATCTTCTCGATCATAAAAAAATACCATTAATGGTCATTTCTAAGTAATTTTCCTAATCTTCAACTAATACAGATAGGCCATATATTTTCTACAACATTTCGAAGAAACTATCATGAATGAGAAATGAATATGTATAGAACGTTTGCGCAGCTTAATCGTTAAACGTCTTGTCAAACTCGTCAAACGATTATGGCTATGCATATTTGCGACGAAATAAAGATAAAAGAAAGTGACTCATACATCGATAACTTACTTCATTCACAGTGAATGAAATGCTGTTGGCTGTCCCGCTCTTATGTACACCCCAAGTACTGTCGATTTTATCATTCGTTTAGTTGGAAAAAAATATAACGTCGCGAAGGAATCACACCCAACTAATGAGAGCAGTGATAAGCATGTATGTTTTATCGATTACATTTTCCTCTCTTATCGTACTTTGAGTGTGTAGATGAATGATTCGACTATATAAAATTTGTTCACGCATGCTACTTCGTTAGATATCGATAAGAAATGCATAAATATTTGCGTGATTATGGTTGAATCTGAATATCTTCGATTTTTAACTCATTGATAGTATACTTTGATTGGAAGTGTGGATGGGATGTCAAGAATCGCCTTGTGTATATTCTTACCATTAACCGTATTAAAAACGATATTTTTTAGGTAGTCGAAGAAAAAAATCTTACTTTTCTTGTCACGCTACGACACAAAAACTGTGTAATAAGTTTCTTTTGTATATTAATGAGTGTTTATAATTGAGTTGCGAAGAATGTTGTTCATTTAAGTGTTCGCTAACCGTTCAATAATGCTACTGGTCGACTTCGAAAAACAGAAAAAACATTAGTAAGAATAAGCATCGAATCGATCACCTTATAAATAAATATGATATATATTTATAGAGTGGTTTTTTAGAATACGATATTTTAATCGTTCTAGATGATGTATTTTTTCTACTAAACAACATAATTGGTTACAACTCTGTTTTGGACCTTGTTTGCGACAACGAACTACGATGGACTTATCTGTAATAAATAGTTCTCCTCTCTCGGTACAGGCGACAATTGTTAGTCCAGTTGTTTCAAATGAGTCTGAAGAATTGGCAACATCTCCCGGTAATAACTCCAATCAGGTTGAGCGTGCTGCTGTGCATCGACGCCGTAATACTCATAACAGGGCTATGAATAGATATGAAGTTTCTTCTTCACGTGGAGAAAACTGGCATAGTTGGAATTCTTTGCGACTACCTTATATACTACATCAGCTCCGAGTAATTAATGAAGTAACCATCGATGCTGAATCCAACAACAATCGTATGCTCAGATTCCAAGATCGACTCGATTGTTCACTGCCAACAGAAAGTGTTAGCAACGATACACCGTATCATGGCAATATTTTCATCATGGACTGGCTACTTCAAACATTTAAAACACCAGCAAAGGTGACGTTTGATCGTATATTTAAACTTTTGATAGAAGGAATTCAAAAAGAAGGAGAGATGCATGGAGATCCCAATTTACACAACCTGTTTGATATACTTTGGCATATCGAGCAAAATGCATCAAGCCTCAGCGAAACTAAACGTATGGCATTGCTAAGAGAAGGATGTATCTATATGTACACTGAAGCTTCGTTTCTGTATCGGGAAACGAATGAAGCTCTTCGTGTTAATGACAAGTCGAAACTCAAAACACTGGGACCGTTCTGCTTCCTCCTATATGATTACATCGGCAGAAATTCTTCTGACAATGTGTCAAAACTTGATCGTTTAAGGCAAACACTACATTTTAAGAAAAAGAATCCTCTGATAGTTTATCGTGGAGATATTGTATTAGCACAGAAACTGAAAGAATATCGGGAAGCAGCTGGAAATGACAAGAAATGCTTCAAATGGTCGTGTTTCGTATCTACGTCAGCAGACATTGATAAAGCTCTGAAATTCGGTAAAAATGTTCTTTACGAGATGGATCTTGGTAGATATAGATGGAATGACCAATTTGCAAACATATCGCACCTATCAGTTTTCGAAACAGAAAATGAGACACTTCTTCAGCCAGGTGTTCGATTTTGTATCGATACATTCGAAGAAAATTGGAGAGCTGATCGTGCACTTGTGCGTATTCATATTCTTCCATCGTACGTACAAAAAGTGTAGAAATCAACAGTAAGACGTTGCCATTCGACAAAAACAAAACGAATTGTTAATAGATATACATCCTTCTGATTTATCCGTAACTTATACAAAGTTGTCTGTTGAATTTAACAAAGGTAGCAGTTCAACGAACAGCTGTTTAGATACTATCAAAACTTTGAATAAAATGCATGATTTCATAAATCATTCTTGTGATTGTGTATATCTTTTTCTATTTGCAAAATAGAAATCTTATCAATTTATAAACCGACTTTGCGAAATTATCTTTAGCAGGTCTCGAACTTATCAGTAACGTAAGTTGTAAGCAAGCCGTTGTGTTACTTATCTGATTACATCGAAATATGTTCTCAGGATGGTGAAAAGCGACATCTAGCCAGTTGTTTACCAACGTATATCCGTTGGTGTTAATCCTCAATATAGCATTGGTTGATTTAAAGTAGCCTATCGAATGTAGATATGAAAAGAAAAGAGTTGACATCAAGTAAATAACTTTTCTTACTCATTTTCATTTCGTTTATTAACAGCATTGTTTTTTCAATATAAAAGTGAAACTGAACTGATAAATTTCCCGTCGGTGTTCTAGATTTTTTCAGTTATGTCATCAAGTTCGTCTGCATCCACAACAGTTAGTAATAATAATAAGACAATTTTTAATGATGCTGAAGTAAATTTCACTGCTGCTAGTTTTCTATAAAAAATTATTTTCTTTTTTTTTTATTCAGACTGATGCTTTTCAAGGTCTTGATATTTCACGCCTATCAACCGAAGATATTATTGCTCGCTCACGTTTGTTAGATAATGAAGTTAAAGTTCGTATAAATATCTATATATTACGTTGGTTTTCATTTTTGTTTTGAAAATTCTATTTAAAGATCATGAAAAATGATATTGTCCGCATCTCACATGAAAGTCAATCAATGCGTGATAGAATCAAAGAAAATAAAGAAAAAATAAAAGTTAATAAAACTTTACCATATCTTGTTTCAAATGTTATTGAAGTAAGATCTTCAAATTTTGGTTTCTATATCATTTTTATCTAATTGAATTAGTTGTTTGATCTTGATCCACAAGGCGAAGAAGATGAAGGAGCGAATATTGATCTTGACGCGCAACGTAAAGGAAAATGTGCAGTTATAAAAACATCAACACGACAAGTAAGTCGAGAGAAAACAACAACAAATACTTATCAACCTTGAAATCTTAATATTCTTTATAGACTTATTTTTTACCTGTTATTGGTCTTGTTGAGCCAGAAGAAATGAAACCAGCCGATTTAGTCGTAAGTTTTGTTTTTATCCATTTCAACTATCTATTTAATATTGACAAATTAGGGTGTTAATAAAGATTCCTATTTGGTATTAGAAAAATTACCTGTGGAATATGATTCACGTGTTAAAGCAATGGAAGTCGATGAAAGACCAACTGAACAATATGGTGACATTGGTGGTTTAGATAAACAAATTCAAGAATTAATTGAAGCTGTTGTCCTACCAATGACACATAAAGATCGTTTTGAAGCTCTCGGCATTCAACCACCTAAAGGTGTTCTTCTTTACGGTCCACCAGGCACTGGCAAAACTCTATTAGCACGTGCTTGTGCTGCACAAACTAAATCAGCATTCTTAAAATTGGCGGGACCTCAACTTGTACAAATGTTTATTGGTAAGATAGTTTAAAATAAAAATTTGATCTATTTCAGTGATTTTTATGTCAGGTGACGGAGCAAAATTAGTACGTGATGCATTTGCATTAGCCAAAGAAAAAGCACCGGCAATTATTTTTATTGATGAATTAGACGCAATTGGAACAAAACGTTTTGATAGTGAAAAGGCTGGAGATCGAGAAGTACAAAGAACTATGCTTGAACTTCTCAATCAATTAGATGGATTTCAACCAAATCATGATATTAAGTAAAAAATAGAATGATTGTTGATCGCATGAATCGTTATCTTTTGCTATGTAATAGAGTTATTGCAGCTACAAACCGCGTTGATATTCTCGATCCAGCTTTATTACGTTCTGGACGACTTGATCGTAAAATTGAATTTCCACATCCAAATGAAACTGTAAGTTTCAGCAAAAATAGATGAATTGATATTAATTTTGGAGAATAGAGCTTGAAAGTTTCTATAGAATTGATAATTAACGTAAAAATACTTTTCATGCAGTGGAATACTAATAAGGACAATGCATGAGCTTTCCGTTCACAAAAGATCTTGTCTGTAGGATGTTTGCATTTCAAGACTATAAGAAGAAAAATTATTTTTTTAAAGCTTACTGAACATTTGATCTGCGGTACTTTTTTCTCTTTAAAACGATTCATAACAATTCAAGTTTTTAGCAGTGAAACCTTAGCATAATTTTTCAACATTTAATTGAATCAAAAAAAAAGAAATTTTCAATATATACTAATTTATGGTCTTATTTTAGGCTCGTGCGCGTATTATGCAAATTCATAGTCGTAAAATGAATACAAACAAAGATGTTAATTTTGAAGAATTATCTCGCTGTACAGATGATTTTAATGGTGCACAATGTAAAGCTGTTTGCATCGAAGCTGTATGTATACGTATATTCAATACTGATAATAAAAATGTGTGTTTTTTTCTAGGGCATGATAGCATTACGCCGTGGTGCAAGTGAAGTTCAGCATGAAGATTTTATGGATGCTATTCTTGAAGTACAAGCTAAGAAGAAAACGAATTTGAACTACTATGCTTGACATAATCAAGTGTTTATTTGTTTGTTTTTTCTTTTATTGTTAATTCAATCCTGCGTTTCCATAGTTCTCGCTTTCTTTTTTAAAATAACATAACAAAAAAAAAAAAAATATATATATATATATATATATATAAAATTCAGAATACTTTATCGATGACAAATGTTTTTTTCAATGTTGGTTGAATAGTAAAAACAAACGAGACTATTTTTATTTTCGATTACATCAATAGAGTTAATAGTTATTCGGTTCTTTGAAAGTAGAATAATAATAAGTCAATTTCACAATTATATTACTCATTAGCTGCAACACGTGAAATAGCTAGTGTCTTTGATAATTTAAATGAAGACCATGATTTCGTATGGAATTATTCTATGTAATATTACTATGCATTTTTCTGGCAATAGTCTTCTGCTGCTCTATGAGACATCTATTTTTCTCTACAATGAGCCATGTTGTGCTAGTAAGATATTGATAAGGATGGATAGAGTTTTTATAGTGAAAGCGTCCCTTTTTTTCTAATTCTTAAAGACAAAAAAAAGAGAACAAACCATTATAATGAGCACAATGTGAATTTCTAATGAGTTAAGGTTTTAATTATTCTTTCTTTTTCAATTGGAATGTCACCTAGCCTTTTAAGTGATAGTATACTAAACTATCGTACCAGTAGTCATCATATTATATGAGTTTTAAAAATCTCCCCAGTCGAAGTTGCGCTTTCATCACGAAATTGGTCAGTTTATATTATCTTTTGAAATATATGCTGTTATTAGTTGATTTTCAAGCTCAATATGAAGATTTGACTTGAATAGAAAATATTACTATTATTATCATAACCTTTGTATATACCAAAAATGTACATTATCAATTTATTTTTGTATGTAATCGTTCTTATGTCATTAAAGCAATCATCGTCGAATGAAATGTTTGATTTAATTCTCATTAAATCTCAGATGCATGAAAGGGTTGATGGGAGGACCCTTTGAATAGCCATGCCAACACCTGACTTTTATGCAACTCATATATTTGCGAAGAAAATGATGAGCCTAACTTTAAAAGCGAGATTTTTGCGGCTGCCCACCCTCCCCATTATCGACATTAATGAGTTAAAAATTGTGCTGATTAGGAGTTAGAATAATTAGGATGATATTTCGCCTTTTCTTGTATTGCAAACTACTTGAAAAAGGCAAGACCTACTCATTACAGAACATAGCAGCTGAGTTAGGCTACTATTACAGACCTTGCAAACTAATCTCTACCATTGTTAAAGATGCCAGCTAGCAATTAACCCACAATTACAAACATAAGTAATTGCGTAGTGACCTGATTATAGAATTTGGAAATTATGGCGGATTTTTCATTTATGTCAAAGTAAAAAAAGAAATGGTAAAAAACAATGCACAAGTCTATTCGATAGAAAATCGTTGAACACGATTATTCTCATTATCGGCGACATAGAGGTTACCATGTAAATCGAAAGACAAACTAACGGGGTAGTCGAACTGATTTGCTGCTGCCCCTGGACCATTTCCACCCACAATTACAGTGCCTTGTGTCGCTCCTTGAATCCAACGCATTACACGATGATTCTCCGAGTCTGACACGTAGAGAGTACCCAAATTATCGATGAAGAGTCCGCTGGCCCAATGCAATTGTGGCAGAGCATTCCAGTCTCATTGACCTCCAGCGATCACAATGCCTGCTTTGGCACCTTCAGTCCATTTCACTACACGGTGATTCTCGTTGTCTGATACGTAGACATTCTGTTGTCGATCGACAAAGAGGTATGTGGGCCAGTTAAGTTGATGGAAACCATCACCTCTGTCATTTCCACCAGCCACCAAAATGCCATTCTCCTCACCCAATTGATATCGTCTTACTTCATGTTTTTCGTTATCTGAAACGTAGAGATATCTCTTCTCATCCATTACTAATCCCCAACATTGAATGTTGGGGATAAGAATTTTTCCTTGTACTGAATCACTACGACGAGACCACCATACAACTCGTCGATTCCCATGATCACAAATAATCAGACTATCCGCCTCTTTGTCGATCAATACATATGTTGGCTGATTCAATTGGTTCAAGCCATTTCCTTGGCCTTGGCCGCCAGCAACAACTTGCCCATTTGTCGTATCACCTTCCTTCCATTGGATGATACGATGATTGCAGTTGTCAGCAATAATCACTGTTTGATTATCATCAATGAAGAGACCTTGAGGGCAGTGGAGTTGATTAGTGGCAGTGCCATCTCCATTGTCTCCAGCAATAGTCATACCATTCAGTGTCCATTTGGCATCAGCAGGAATATTAGCTGCAAGAAAACAAAAAACAATAGAAGATCTCTTTCTAAAGTGATTGCATTAGAAAATATGGCACGAGAAATGTGTGCAAAGAACTACTCTTAAGCACTCATAGCTAATCCGATGGTGAAGTTCTAATGAATAACAGCAGTTCCCGTCTAATTTCGAAAGTAAGGCAAAATTCCTTTTATAGACCATTTTTTAGGAACGCAAGAATTCTCCAAAAAGTTTTTTTAGAAGGCTCAAAAAAAAATACTAAGTCAAATGTCTACATCATCACTTATCTTTCTCAAGCGCGGATAGAGCCCGTTATATTTTTTCAAGATATTATAGAGAAATATATATACATATATATTTTTTTTTTGAGTACGTGCATATTACATATTTCGAAAGTACATGGAGTTTGCATCTACCGAGGATGCATAAACAAAATAGATTAAATTCAATGCCAATAAAGACATTCTCGAGCTTTTTTCCTAAGTCTCATCACTATAGAATTGCCCTCCTTTTTTAAAATAGAACAAATAATTATAGATTTTTCTTGTATAGAACTTGACATTCTTTATCATTCCTCATATATATTTTATTAACTAATTATCTTGTATGTTCGAGAATAATCTGAATATTATATCGACACGCGCTCCTTCACAAGTTCTAAAAAGAAGTAACTCTTTTTGATGAGCTCTCTCGTTTTGTTCTTTCGGCAGTATAGGAAAATAGAGAATGCTTTGTTTTGGTAAAATTTTTCTTAGACTCGTAATAAAGTTGAAATAAAAAGAAAATTGTTACTAAATAAGATTATTTTCTTATGCTTTCTTTTTAGCTGATTACTGTTGACGTAAGACTCAATGTATTCCTTAGCACATTCACCATATATAAGCATATAAATACAAGGCAAGACAAAAACAAATATACATAAGATAATAGAGAATTTCAAGCTATATCAGAATCTATAATTGTTTGTTTTTCGCACAAAAAAATAGAGTAATTCTATGGTGATGAAAAATCAAAACATAACTGAGATTTTGATGAAAGAGAAAAAATCAAGTCGGTGAAAACCTATTTTAGTCTCTTCTCAAAAAATCTATTAGTAACAGAAATCACCATCATAATTGCAGAAGTAGGAAAAATATAATTAAATAAAAGTAGTAAGGCAGATTCTTGCTAAATAATTGTTAGAAATGAGTAGGAAATCCTAAGAATTCTTTAGAAGGAATTCTCCATGATAGCGTTGTGAGAATGGTTGTCTTTTAATTGAAATAAAATATTATAGAATTTGAAGAAGACAAGCAAAATGTTGTATGGAATTGAAAATTCTTGGCAAAGAGTTTTTGACTAGAGGTAATTATAATATTATTATCCTTACTAATTTACAGTCTGCTTCAATAGTTCCCAGATTATGGAGACACATCAATATATTTTAATACAGCTCTGTTTAGAAAAAAAATTTCACATGTTGTCATGCATAGATATCTCCTCCTCACATAAGTACTTTCTTTAAATGTTTTGGTGTAGATTTTGATAGCCTGTAGTAAGTATACTATGAAACATCGTAATTTGATATTTTATCCGATCACTTATAGAAATAAAAGAGAGGATCATATTTCTTTCATTCATATCGCAAAATAGCTCAATCATTTTCAAAATTTCCCTACTTAACGTAGTTTGTGTTTATTAATCTTTTTTGGGTAGTTCTTTTGTCTGACGACAAATAGCACTATTAAAAACTAGATTTGGTATTCGAGTCAAACCCGAATACAAAATGCGGTGTGAAGCGCCAAAAAAAAGGTGAAATCTCAAGGTTACCCTACGCTGGCAATATAAGAAAGTTACAATAAGGTTTAGAAGTTCATCTTTCTAGTTGTCCTGAAAGTGCATCACTAACGTAAGAGAACTTTATCCATGCATATCTATATGTACGAAGATGTTTGCTTAACTTTTTATCGGTAATCAGCTAGTTCCACAGCTAGTAAAAAAGAAATCAACTGATAGATAGATTTCTCTAGTGTTCTCAAGATATTTATCTTGAACAATAACTACACGATAAAGTCATTTGTGATTCTATTGTTTACTATCAACATTTGGAAACGACGAGGATACAATGAGACCACTCTTGAAGTATCCATGATTTGTATTGTCTGACGGTGATTTCAAATCAAACTTTTTAAAGTTTTCCATAAACGAATTATTTCTTTGTTGTTGTCATATTTTGACTCATAATTTCTATCACATCTATAGATATACTGAGAGAAGATTCCATTCATTCAAGCTCAGTGCTTACTTCATATATCAACCGCCCAGGTATAAAAGTAAGACTCAAATGATAAGAAGATTTTCCAACTTTGCTAGAAACGTATTCCATTTTTTAATTAACGATAAATCTTAAAATTTGAAACTAAAACATTTCAAAGCCATTTTTACCTACTTATTCGATTGAAAAGAAAGTCTTGCATGTGTTATTATTATTTGACGATAGAATACTATTTGTATAGAGTGTTCCGTAATTGCATCAAAGCATGCGCGAAAACTTTCTTCATCTATTTGAGGATTTCAGATAAACAAAAAAAATCAATTCAATATAAGAAAGCAGATTGGAAACATCTGGAAGTTTTATCAAAATTCTGCATTTTGAATTAATACGCATAATAAATTTGTTCAACTTTGAATGCTCTTTCTCGTCAAATAATTGAACTAGAAAAACAAAGCTACGTCTCATTATTCTGTTAAGAATTATCGGAAAGATTGCTTGATGTCAGACTGTAGTCTCTAAAACTTTACTTAACGACAGAAACTAATATCTCCAGTACTTATTTATGAACGAATACATTGCCTAAACACTAAAAATGTAATGAACTTTCTTCATTCATTTTACTGGACAAATAAACAAAATTTACTAGAGTATCATATTTAGATAGAATCAATTACTAGATGTTTGAAACCGGACTGAAGCTACCTTTTTCGTTAGCATTAGCGCTTTCACTTTGGTCTATAGTTGAATGTTCACCTGAGCAACTAGGTGGAGCGTCGAATAACATCGCAAAAAAAGAAGATCCTCGCTTCATATCTATAGCTATTTTCGTAGTTTTCGTTATGCTTCATGTATTTCTTTTCATAAATATGCTTTAAAAATTAGCAGCCTACCGTAAAAAAAACTTGTAAATCATTCAAACCGACACTCAGTTTCACCTACCTGTGACTGTAGTTGGCGTTGTAATAGTTGGTGCTATGACTTTTTTCTTAGTTCTTCTAGTAGTACCTTTAGTGCTTCTTTTAGTAGCTACTTTGGTGGTTCCTATAGCTGCTGTTGTCATTATGGGTGTTGTAGTAGTTGTAGTAGTTGTAGCAGTTGTAGTAGTTGTAGCAGTTGTAGTAGTTGTAGTAGTTGTAGTAGTTGTAGAAGTTGTTGCAGTAGTGTCTACGCTGGTTGTTTCATTGGTGTTCGTTACGATATTTGACGTGGAAATATAGGGTGTTAAGCTTAATTGTGTGGGACCGTAAATTGAAATATTGAATTCACCTATGTCGTCTGGATGGTATGTTGTAACAACGAGGATCGTGGATTGAGTCACCGTAAACGTCGCTGTGATCTGAAAATTGCCTTGAGAGCCACCGTCATCTTTAGCTACTACTAGATTCGATTGTGGACTGCTTGAAATGAATGGCATAATATATAGATATCCGTAAGTGTCCATAAGACTGTCGCACACAAATGTGTAAGAGCCGCTAATTGACGCCGTTACCTGAATCGCCATGTAATAGTAAGCCATTCCACCGCCATTGGGTCGCGGAAACTGGGAACTGCTTTTGGTCAACACGTTCGAGTAACAGAGTTGCATCTCAGAGTTGGTCACTGGAATAAAAAGAAAAAAACATTTTGTGATCAAATTCACATCTCTTTTTGAATTAATATGGTAATATTCGGTTTGTGAAACAATACTCTCTCGAGCGAAACATATTCATATGATGATCTAGGAATCATGTATTTTTTCGCAATTATGTGTGATTTTTCGAGATGGAGTGTGCATAGTGAATGAACTCCAGGAAGTTTCGAACGTCAATGCTAACTATCAAAGCAGGTACTCAGATCTATTCTCAAAGAAACTTTTGGAATGCGAGTGGGTATAGAAACGATTGAGATCGACACCTATACACCTACATCATTGGAAAGAATATTGAAAGTTGAATAGAACTGCTTGTTTTTGTTTTAAAATAAGTTTTTCTAATAGAATTTTGTGCGGTAGCGCTCGACTTTTCGTAACGCTATATGCATAGTAGCGGAAAAATTCAACTTTTACAATAAGCTTGAGACTGTAAACTTGTGCATTCTTTATATCAGAGGTGATGTTATTAAAAGTGTCTTTGCTATTGTGGAAGCAGTTCACTATTCAAAACATAGAGCCCTCTTTTTCCTAACTGAATTCATCAGTGATTTTCAAGAATCATTACATGTCGTTACTCAATTAGGCTCTAAGAATAAAGTCTCATAGATGACAGCTTATAGAAAAGTTCGTAGGAGCTTCCATGTCTCATTATAGAGTTGAAATTTTCTTAACGATGTACACAGTATGATTTAGAACATAATGATTCCTTATATAACTTCGAGCTCGAGCTATTTTGCTCAATTTTCAATACTTCTCCTAATGTTGTATTTAGAAGCAGTATATTATGTCTGATCATTTCTTTTGATTTGTGATTATTGATCATAAAAACTGCGTACACTTTACATATTATGCGCAGTAGGTTTTTAAGCGAAAATCTAGTCAGTTCTGTCTTATAGCTCCTCTATAACAGCAAGACTTGTCGAATATTAAAACTATCCTAAATATTCACCTACCTAAGAAAAATTTATTTTCTCAGCTAAATTTCGACTGTCCACCGACTAAATCAAGAATAGAAATTCAATTTAAACTGGGACTCGAACCAAATATGCTAATAAAAAGATATTTATTGTTGACATTTCTTTTTGAAACGAAACAAGAAGTAAAATGTGTCTCAAGCGTGTATAGATTAATTTTATTTTTTCTATCATTCTTTTGAAAACAATGATTTTGATTGGCACTTTTCCACTAGTGTAATTAACATTCAGAAGTCAACAAAAACAAACATTTTCGGGTCATTTTGGCAAGAAATTTATGGTGCTCTCCTGCTTATATTCTGTTCTTTTGCTCTTGGTCATTCTCACCTGCATTGCGGCGGATACGATGATGCGGTCGTTGTACTTCACCATCATCAATGCTTGAGTTGTGGAACCGGTTGTTTGCATGTCGGTTCCGAATAAAGACATCTTAATAGAATTAAGCGGATTGAAAATATCACAGCGGTATTTCTATAGAACGAATAGATACGGGTGCTTCCCTCACGTTCACTGATTATAAAAATCCAAAGCTAACAAAATTGATTTTTAAACAAAATTTGATATTTTCTTAGTAACCTTGACTTCTTTTACGTATCAAATCAAATTTTCTTTGTAATAACCTGGTACTATTTCATTGATTCATATTGTTTGAATTGACTGATATAAACTATTATGTTTTCGCCACATTTAACTCGAGAATATAGGCTTGTGCTCATCTGCTTATTCTAGTCAAAATCTATCAATATAATTGTGTTTAACATTAATCTTCATATTATTTCTTTATGTTGGTACCTTAATTTTCTTTTATTATCTAGCTTTCATCTAAATGTTTGATTTTTAAATTATTATTGCGTCATTCGGAAAAAATCTTTTGCATAGCTCGAGTTTATATATTGCGTCTATGACTAGTCCGAGAGTTATACAAATTTAAGATAGTATTTACTTTCTTAAAAGAAACTATATGCTAAATGTTGGATAGTGTTTGATTTACAATAGCGGAGAAAATATTTTTTCTATGAAGTACTAAAACGTTTGTCTCGCCCTTTCATTATAAATAGTGTGACTTACCGTAAGCATCGATTTGTCGGCTATCCACTCGGCTTAAGAATGATAATACCAGTAGTAGTAAAACAGGATAAAACATGTCTCGTCTGTGTATCAGTATGTATCGAAAATGGCTATATTAAATAATTGATGCGACAGTCTACATCGCATATGGGGCTTTATACATATCGTCTCCATACGCATTTTAAATATTTCCTTTTCGAGGGAATTCTCTGCATCAACAATGTTTTCTTATTTTCTCTCATCAAAGAGAACATGTCAAAACATAAATTATATGAAACGGACCAATTGATATAGACCTCAGAATGGAGATATCATGGTATGTTTTCACTGTTATCGACGACTCCATAATAATTTTCTGTTCTTGTGTTATATCTGTCATCTAACTTCTTGAGGGTGTCAACGCCTTTTACGTGAGTTGACGGAAATCGTTATTAGCATTAGCAGTGTCGAAAAATCGTTCATTCTATTTCTTTCATAGAATATATATGGTATATATATGCTCAAGATTCTATTTAAGTGCTTGTCAATACAATGAGAAAAGAACTGGTACAATAGGAACCGTTCTTGAGTTTACAAAAAAATGAACTTTCGTGCATAGTCCATTCACTTGGTTTCCGCTTGTAGGATGTGGGTAAAAGAATGACCTTTACTTAAATAGACACCAAAAGTCACATGCAATCACATCCTAATCATTTCACCTATACTAATGTATGACTGCCTCACTTTACATTTATTTGAATCATTCTACTTGGTCGTTCATGTTATTCACGAATCAAAAGTGAACAGCGGTAAAACTAGTATAATCATTGCTGAGTGTTTTTTTACACGTCAAAATTCATGGATCCTTTCCTACAGTGTTGTAGAAGATAAAAGTATTTAAAATGTGCTTTTGGGTACTTTCAGAAAACTATGTCGATGTGGCGTGTGTGATTCTAGATGTGAGTTTTGTTTAACTGTTCGCTTACAGTGATAAGATAAATAGCTAATCGCTGACAGAGGTCAGAGATCTACAAGTACTATAATTGACGAAGTCTTCAAGTTTTACAAGGGCATGAATCAATTTTCCCCTCGGAATATCTTTAAGAATTTGAGTTTATTCTCGTCGTAGCATTAAAAACAGTCAGATAGCTGTACTTTTATATTTACTTTTAGAAAATAACGAATAAGGTTGTCACTAGTTTCAGTTATTTCGACTGAAGCTTTTTCAAAAAGGTTCAGCATCTGATTCTCAACAAACAAATCCAATAGAAAAAAAGTAGAACAACTTTATTGAATCACTATTACAAGTACGCAACTTCAATAATTTTAAAAACATCTTGTAATAGATGGGCAAGAATAAACGAGCTAAAGTTTATGTAACTGCTGTTGAAATCAAATAAAAAACACTCTTGTTTTTATTTGAGGGGAAAAGATTCCGCTTATTTAACACGAGAAGGTTTCCTTTCAAAAATTCTGAAATATACAAATAGAACAGATCTCTTGAAGCTTCACTAAATCTATCTATGTACCTTGACGTGAAGCACGTATTAATACTTTAATAGACTTTTTGTCTTCACATTTGTGGGATTTCTAGAGAATCAAATGCTAAATGCGTTGAAAAACGTTTCAGTACACACAAATGAAAACTAGAGAATATTGTGAGATCTTTATTCTTTTCGATCTATCGGTTAGAAAAAATACAAGTTCAACTACTTTTATTAGGACTTGGTCTTTTACTGTACATGGGATTCGACAGATCGCTATTATCTGATGAAGAAAAATATTCATCAAATTACACTATTCGCTACGCGTGTTTAGCTAAGAAATAGTTGTAGCAATTAATAGAAAAATCTCCATGTATCAGTACCGTATCTATGAGTGTTGTGAAGCAAAGATCGGCATCCACACCCTCATCGAAAGTGATATTTATGATAGATGCAATCATGATTTGGCCAATTAACTTTAAGTTTTCAATTATTTTATATATAAGAACATCTTCATTATAAAACTGTCCTTAACCGTGCATAAGTCTTTCATTGATATACATGAGTAAATTGCTCGTTCTTGATATTTTACTCGGAAATGAACATTTTCAATAGTAGAAAGATTATCATAAAGATTCATTCGAAAGAAAAGTACATATCGGAAGCCAACGTAATTTACAAGGTTGCGTTTTGTACTGTATTCTAAATAACTGTTAGTCAAGGTCTCACAGCTAATTTTGAAACTGATATTACACAGATCATGATGCTATCATCTAGTCAAATATTCTTCGTACAATTAATTTTTTGTTGAAACTAATTATTAATCTACTGTAGCGATTCTCCTGCAGTTATGCAAATAATACGTCAAATGTGATATAGTTCTCATAGTACTATTCAAATATTTTGTTTTTGCTCTCTAATTGCTTCGATATAACACGTAGTCATACAAATTTATTTATCGATCATTCATGATGAGGATAAAAACTATATTTAATAAATTCTCTGTGATTTCATAATTCGTTGATTTCAAAAGACAGAAAGTCAACAGTCGATGTGCTTCGAAGTTTATGTAAACATCTTTTTCGTTATAATACAAGCAAAAAATTCACTCGCTACATTGTTCTGTACTTTATTTCGATGATGAAACGTGATACCACATGAACCTTGCCAGAATTGGTTAATATATGAGAATAAAAAAAGGAGAGAGAAATCGAAACTCAATACTTATAAGATCACTTGTTGGTAGAAGAAATCACTTTCTTCGAGGATAAAAACAAAGAATTTGATGAATAAAAGTCTCGTATATTTATCTACGAAAAAATACAAAAAAAAATCTATTATTTCTTCTATACGTCTTCCTTTTTTCTTTATTGTAACACAAAAGAACAACAAGCGAAGAAATAGATCTTTGAATCAGACATTGTTATTCTCAAAAAAAAAAAGAAAAGAATAAAACTAGCCAGTCACTCGACTATTGACACTAAATATTTGTACTCGTCGATCATTACTCAAAGATTCAATTTCTTATTTGACAACTGAATTATAACATTGTAATTTAATCATTCTTGAAAACAATTTCATTAAGTTATTAAAACAAAAATATGCAGACGGCACGTTCACTTCCGATAATTCAATGTCATAGTGGAGAGTTTAGCCAAAAACGAATGCGGGTACAGCCCGAAGTACGTATTCAATATAATCGAGAAGAGAATTACAAAACTTGAGATCGCGTTTAATAGGTGAATTCATTTCAAGATGTCAGAAAACGTTACCCATAGATGCTCAAGAAAAGATTTCCACTCTGTCCAAAAGCATGAAAATATTTTCAGACATTGAGTTCTCACTACCTAGGAAAAAAAACTTCTTGTCTTCGCAACTATGAGCCGACTTCCTTCCCTGCAACAAATTGAGCACATAAAAAAATGTTTTTATTTTATTTTATTAAAAACTCATTTCAATCACAAAATGGATAACTTTAACGTAAACAGAAATCTATTAAAGCGAGAAACCTAATAGGTGTATTTGAAAAGAGTCCGTTGAAGAATTTTCATTTCCTTCTTGTAATATGTTTCGCAAATAAATTATTTAATTATTAATCTAACAATTTTTTTTATTTGCTTAAGCCACCGATTCCTATTAGATATGCAACAGCGGCAATTCCAACCTTGGCGCCGTTCGGTACTGATTATACACCTGAGCATACTATGAAAATTATTGGGGGTCGACGGATCGTAGTACCGCGGTCAATCGCAGCGATTCCTAAAATTTTCCCAGCATCATTTATAAGAAGACCGTAAGTTAATTTTTTTCTACCGCTATATACATATAAACATTAAAACTGAGCTACTTCCTGATACGACTTGGCAACTATACAAACATAACAGGGGATTTTATTTTGAAGAAATACTCAACTAAATTCTTTTTTTACGCTTTTTGATTACTTCTGTCTTTCTAATGGAAAAAAAGAGAAACTGAGTATCATTACGACCGCAAGAAGTGGTCAAATAAAACACGCACACATATAATCTCTTCGTTTTCTCTTTTGTTTCGATGCAAACTCTAGCAGCAACCAGCGAAAGAAAAAGTAACCCAAGCAACTAAAGGTGCTTTTTTTGTCGACGATAAAGTAAGAAAATAGTTGCAACAACAAATGCATAGAATAAGAGAGCAAAGAGAAATTGTTGCTATGTGTGTTTATTGACAACTTTGTTTAAAAGCGTCGCTTTTCTTTTTGATTCATCAAGCTTCGTTTCTTTACTCTTCAAATAAAATGGCGTTTACACGATACTATCCTGTGTCAAGTCATATTTAGTACGATAATATTTTGAAATTTCGTATTGAAATCAAGTCAGTTTTGTTTTTCTTCTTCAGTGATCCAGCAGTAGCTCCAACAAAACCTATTCAACATGCCACTGCAATTGATAGTGCAAAATTTCAAAATGGTAACACAGCAAGATTTGATACAACTTATCGTACGGAATATATCAACCGACTTCGAAATTTTGTAAGTAAACCTACATGAATATTACCAGCTCAAACATCATTCTGTCAAAAATTAATAGTGAATCCTTTATCAACATTATACACACGATTCAAACTGAACTAAAACTATCCGTAGTTTTGTAGTTGATCGATTTGCTATTTTCTAGACGGTAGTGTATCAATAAATGAGTAGAATAGGAAGGGATATGTTAGAGAATTTTATGTTTATCGCTTTTGTGAAGGACATTTTCTTTTCAAGTATCATGCAACGTACATTTAAGATTCACTTTTGCTTTCAACTGACTTTTTTTTTGAAACTATTTGACAAATCTAAACAAGTTTATCACTCGTTGCGTCATGTTGTCATCAGCTACTATTTTTGTTTTAACTACAAACAATTAGACTTTCTACGTCCAAAAAATAAATTGTTCCATTCTTCTCGTTTGTTAATAGTGAGACAAGGACGTCAAACGCCAATCGAATCGAATCAATACAGTTTAATACTCATGAAAGAAACAATTGAATAGAGAGTTATTTTCAAAGAACAGAAAACTTCTGCGCATACTCAATGGCAATCATCCTATTAGTTTTCTTCCTTTCTCATATGAAATACGTTTGTTTGAGTAAAATATTAATAGTGTAAATACAAACAAATCAAAGACAGAAAGAAAATAAAAGTTTAGTCAATAAAAACAGAACTAATAAATTGTACGTAATACAAATTTTCAGCCAGATCAGTATACGAAACCAACTCGACAATTTAAAACTGCTCTTAATCAATATTCTGTATTACCACCAATATCTGCTACTAATAATAATCCAAATGATACAATGGAGCGTAATAGTCTATCTGATGGTCAACAACCACAACAACCATTTTATGATCAAATAGTACCCGGAAATGACACAATGCAACAATTACATTATAATAGTGAAAGAGAATATTATGAGCAACAACAACAACAACAACAACAACAACAGCAGCAGCAGCCAATGATGAATAATGAAGATCCCTATTTACCTGTAGAACCAGTTATATTGACTGATTTTGAAGAAACTCGTTTATCTGAACAAATACGTACTCAATTAGGAAGTGGCGTAACAGTTGATCGATTAAAAATATTATTTCAAGAATTACTTGCTTATGATGCCAACTCAACGGGCTATGTACACTATTCAAGTATTCAATCGTTGACTTATCAACTTGGAGTAAAATATTTTCGCTCGGAATTTCTTAATAGAAAATTCTTTTTTTCTCATTTAGCTTCATATGGCTGAGGATACACTTCGTTTTGCCATGTGCAAATTTGTTTCACCAAATCAACCACGTGGTTTTGTGAATTATGAAGATCTTATTCGATATATTGGAAAATGTCTTTCAGCAATTTCTCCTAACCAATACGAGTAAGCTGTAATTCATTATAGAATTCACTAAATGAAATAATAGCAGTCAGTGTCATAATTGTTCTACTTTTTAAAGCAAGACAACGCTGAAATCCTCTCGTAATCTAGATATATAAACATAGATGACTTTATTCCCCTCTCGTCAGTTATCACTTTACAGGAGCCGCCACTACCAGCACGGCAGATACTGGTTCTCACACTCTATCTTCTATGATACAGTAAAAAGGTAGGTATACAAAAAACAACAACAAATATCAATCTATATAATGCTTGCCCATGGATTCGCTCTTGATAAATTTCTCTTGCTCCTGAATGTTTGCTTATGATTTAGCTGTGCGCTTTGCAAGACGATGCATGTTAAAAAATATATATGTTAACACATATTTGTTTCCATATGCAATTAAATATTTTCCATTCAGATATCAACAACAGCAGCCACAGCAACAGCAGCAGCAACAGGGACAAAATAGTCCACAAAAATCAGCGAAGCCTAGTGCTAATTTTAAGTTGAATGATGATGATCCATTTGATCCTGATGAACGACAAATACGAGTGTTATTAAATCAAAATTTAAAACATTTTGATCTAACTGGTACAATTGACTTCGATAAATTAACTTACGAATTAAGTACCGTTGATCGGAATCAAAGTGGAGTTTTAAATCGACAACAAGTTGAAGAAGTTGTATATAAAGTTCGTATACCGTTACAACGTTCATTGATATATCAAATACTTGAAAAGCATTGTCGAACGACTTCAAAATTATATGAGTAAGTTTCGATAAATCACCGGCCTAAAAATAAGACAATAAAATCTCCTTATTTTAGTTGGAAGGCTTTTGTTCGTTATCTACAAGAACAAATATTTGATATAAAACAAATTCAAGATCGATCAAGTCCAGTTTATCAACAAGTATAAAATTTAATCGTGCTAAGATATTTCTTTTTTTTTACAAATATTCTCCTATTAGTATGTTCCGTCTCGTGACAAATGGCTTGATGACCTTCAAAGAGAATTTCATGAAAAAGATCGTTTACGCATCATCGAAAGATTCATTTCTAATAATGAAGGTGTACGATCGGTAAATATTGAATACCTATTTTGTTGTCACGTATAAATAAAAAGACTTTCTATTTAATAGGAAAGTACGCATCCAACGGCTTGGTTTACAAGATTTTTACGTTTGGCTAATGCGATGTACACTCATCGACGTAATTCAAACGTGTCACGTATGTGTATGACAGCATAGTCTTCTGTTTTCGTTTACTTTCTCTTTTTCAGAAGATTTTGTATTACCTCGAGAGGAAGCTCGTCGGCTTTTCCGTGCTTATAATCATATATGGGATTTGAAAATCGATGAAGGTAGAATGCAAAAGGTTTTCGAAGGATGTTCTCGAAATGGTCATGTTGTTATTGACGAAGCACTTAAACAACTTGCGAAATGAACAGTTCCTTTTTTTTAACATTCACAATGTCTTGTTTTACCTTTAAGAATTCTTCTTGAAATAAATATTTTATGTTTTTACTATGTGGGTCTTATAGGTTTTGCATGGCTGATGATTCTTGCAGTGATCTTCAGGATAGTTACTCGCGCGGTGTATTGATTCATCACTGTCACCATAGAATTAAAATATAGCTAAAACTATTGTTCAAATACGAAAATCGACGCACTTATTCATCAATGACAAATACATTAGATAGCATTGCCTTGAAAAGCAAATATATTTGAATCTTTTTCTTTCATCATAATAACCTTAAACGTTTCAATTTCAATCGATTTTTATTACAAATACACACGTTTAAATATTCTCGTATCTCTTTGTCAATATTATAAAAATCACTTGAATTTACCGATGTAAATAACGAGTCAACAAGCGCTTCTCTTAATGATGCTTGCAACTAATACTATTTATCTAAACTCAATAAATCAGTAGGCACTGTACGACTTGTATTTCCACATCGCATACGAAGTTATCAACTGAACTATGTTCACGCATAAAACAAAAGGGCAAAGCTAATAAACAAAGCCTCGACATAGATTTGGCTGGGCCAGTTCTTTTTGTTTTCGGTAGAATATTGCTTACGGTGGCATTGCAACGAGTGTTTCAAGGCGAGAACAAGTCTGATACATCCTATCGTTTATTATTTATGATATCAAGGCTGTCAATTACATGTCATTGTCTATGATTACCTCCCACATACTTTCTTTTTTTTTTCAAGGTACTTTTCACTGTATAACCAACATAGACACTCTACTATACTAAAAGACACTTTTAAGTATTTATTCCATCGAGAGAGAAAAAGAATAGATTGATCCTATTATCTCTTGGATATGTAATCTATCCAGCAGTTGCCACATGTATGTCTTCGAGATTGTTTTCTATCGATTACATTATGTATAAAAAAAAAGAAATTCTACATCTTCATTAAAAATTCCACTTAGAAATTAAATGAAGCGTTAAACCGTGAACATATTGCGACGTTCATTTTTATTTTCGAAGTTCAAACATAAAAATTATATCGTCGTATGAAAGCGCCGCTCGATTTCGTATTCAACTAGTAATAAACAAGACTGAAATTGATCAGACCATCACAAAAACAGTCATGTCACACTCATAAGAGTAGACATCAAACAACCTTCCTAACGTAATTTGAATTTCATACAACGCTCTTTTTGTTGTGATTGTATACACACGCAGTAAGGGTCAACTGAAACTAATTGATGTTCCGGATTCATTTTTTCGACTCGATGATGATAAAATGGCTTTTTATGCCGGAGAAAAAAACGAAATTGACATAAGCATTATCAGTTAGTACCAGCAATGAGTAATCTTATCAAGTGTGCATAAAGTTCATGCGATAGATGTAAAAAGATCTGTATACATTTTTAAAATCAACGATTAACTTTCAATGTCGAGAGCAATTATGATATAACGCGTAAGAAAAAGAATCATATTCCGTCGCACTCGAGTGCCAACGTATATATCAATTGTAGCGATTTTTTTCCATTCTTACTCTCTTATCTACAAGATCTGATCTTTCAGGAAGGTCACTATCATAAAAAAAAGGAAAAAAAAGAAAAAAAGAAGAGACAATGTTAACATCAACATCAGAGTGTCCAACAATATTTTTCGTTCTCGTTCTCTTGTTTTATATATATAACATACCTTGACAAGAGCCTTGTGTCATTTTCATTAAAACGATATTTGTGGTACATACAACTACCTTGTCTTTCCGCCTCAATTTTCATAGTAAAATGTTTCGATAGGTATTGAACACTGTTACATAAACACACAGAAACAAATTGAAAGTAAATGAGTCATAAACGCAAATACGTCGAGTCTATCGAAATAGACATACGTACTCTTTTCAAGTAATATATTCATCAGAATATACATATATGATCTATGTTGACAAATTGTCATCTCAAGTACAATACTGATCTGAATCATTATCATAAGGAAAGTATTTTATACTCTTATATTCTTTTATTGATATAGGATAAAAGAGAGAGAGAGAGAGAGAGAGAGAGAAAGAAAGAAAAAGGAGACAGAAATTATTTCCAGACGCTCATTAATCATTCAGCTCTGTTCCATGATAATGGAAGTCGTTCGTATCATTCACTTTATATTTTTTTTAGATAGGCATGTCTGACTGAATAATTAGATGCATTATGGATAATAGCGGTTATAACGAATCGTCATCTGTTAGCTATTTGAATTGCAATGAAGGAATTCAATTCGATGGTCGATCATATGCACTTTTTGGTATGATAATGTTAAATTGCGTTGTAGTAAACGATATACTTTTCTTGTTTTGTTTTGTAGATCCGAACTTTAAAATTTATGAAGCATTCAGTATAAATTTCCAATTGAGAACATTTGCTCATGATGGTCTCATTCTATGGATTGATGATCCTCTGCCGGAATCGAGTTTCACAATTGAAATTCAAAATCGACAAGTAATTTCTTTCGTGTCTTCGCTATTTAAAAAAAAGATTATTATTTCTTACTACAGCTTATAGCTCGAGCCGTTGTCGATGGTCAACCCTTTAGTGTTCGTACGGATTTCACAAAAAATCGTTTATGCGATGGCGTATGGCATTGTGTTCAAGTACGTCTCGAAGGCAGTTTACTTTCGATGAAAGTCGATATGCGACAATACTGTAAGACCGAACCACGTGCTCATTCAATCGATATGCGCGGTCCACTGTTCATTGCTGGTTATTCAGAAAAATATTCACCAACATATTTATCGGTTCGATCAAATGACTTTTTTCAAGGGCATTTACGAAACTTAAAAATTAACGAAAAACAAATCGAATGGCTTGCACCACGTCTTACGGCTGCTGCACGTCAATTTTATCATATAAGCTCGCAGATCATATCAACAAACGCTGAGCAATCGTTTTTAAATGCACCAGCTTTCAATAAATCTTTTATTGAAACAGCATGAACTAAATTAAGCTAAGATTCATGTGAGACAACTTCGTTTTTTTTTCGAAGTTCATTTATGGTATAAAAAGCGAATTATCTTTTTTTTCCTTTTTGTTGTAAAAATAAATCAAACGATAGATAGATAGATAGATGATTAACTTAATGAGTATAGAAAGTTCTTTCAGCTGATAAAACGGCGCCGATAAGTTTGAACAATCTATTGATTCAATGGCATTAGAAGTTGAACAGAGAAAAGCATACGAGCCACCTTGTAATGCTTTATCCGAAACAGGAAAACGAGGACTTGGACCGGAATTTATCTATCCATTTATTGTACTTTTCTTTGCTACTATTCTTCGAAAATTACTCAGGTATTACATTTTGCTTGTGCAAATTCTAGTTTGTTTGCTTGTTCTTTCTATTCTAAAGGCACTATCGTATTTCTCTTCCATATACGGTAATATTAATGCTTGTAGGTGCTGTTTTCGGTGGTTTTTATCAATATGATGTCATCAAAAGATTTACATTCATTGCTGATTTATCACCAGTTCAAATTCTTTCCATATTTTTACCTATTTTAATATTCGAAAGTGCATTTTCATGTGATCCACATATTTTTATCAAGTGTCTCGGACAAATTCTTACATTAGCTATATTAGGTAGATATTTTGTGATCATTGCAAATGTTACACGCGCTCTACTTAACTCCGTGAGAGAAACACACACATAGTATGTGCTGTATCAAAAGTGGGCAAAACGAGTTCCATGCAAAGCCAGTGCTTTCTGAAGAGAACCATAACAATGTTGTCTCTCGACTATGAGGTAAAAATCCTTGCCAGGAGATACCCGAAAACGAAATGAAAAAGTTCGGCGTGTGAGTCATCGTGTTAGATGATGATTGACAATTTTTTTCGTAATTGAAAACAGGCTTCTTTATATCTGTGGCACTTACAACATTGGCTGTTATGTATTGGTACGAAAATCAGTACACAACTGATGTGCAAACATGTTGGACATGGGACCAGGCTGTTTTATATTCAGCGGTTGTTTCAGCGACTGATCCTGTTTCTGTTGTTAGTTTACTTAAATCAATGACGTCGTTAAAAACACTTTCAACTATAATTGAAGGTGAATCTGTAAGTTCATCAGAAATCTATATAGAAATTCGATGATTGAATTTTAGTTACTTAATGATGCAGCTGCTATAACTATTTATACGTTAATGAAAAATTTAATTTATGAAGCAACTAAATCTGATAAAAATCTTGTTGCACAACAAAATCGAGCCACTCTTCTAGGTATTAATGCTGAACGATGTGCTAATGCGATCCGATTTCTTATCAAACGTAAAATAACTGCTGTTTATCTTCTTCGATTTGTGTTGAAAACGGTTGCCATCGCTGTTATCATCGGTAAGAATAAAATGAATCGGTTCTTCGTTTTCATAGATTAATTCAATCTAGGTTATGCAATGGCTCATATAACAATATTTACTTTATATCGCATTGAAGCCGGTGAATTAGAAGCATGTATAACAATTACAATGTCTTATTTTGTTTATTTAACATGTGAAGCTGTTGAAGCATCAGGTGTTATTGGCGTTGTGCTGCTTGGCTTAACATTGAATATGAATCGTTCTTGTTTTAGCGTTTCAGCAATTCACATATCGAAACAAACATGGGAATTACTTGCTTATATAGCGAATTCGCTTATATTCATAACTGTCGGCGTTATTCTATTGAAAACATATAGCGAAAGTCATAAAATGCTATCGCTACTGAGTTCAATTCCGCAATTACTATTAATCTATATTATATTAATACTTGTTCGAGCCATAATGATACTTTGTATTCATTTCATATTGAAACATATCGCATATGGTTTCACTTGGAAAGATTCTATTGTTACAATTTGGTCTGGACTACGCGGTGGTGTTAGTCTTGTTCTTGCCTTGACACTTTTTAATAGTAAAATTAAAGATAAATATCAAGCCGATACAATGCTTATTCATACAACAGCTATTGTCTTTCTTACTTGTACAGGTAAGGAAAAATGAATTCTATCGTTTAGAGAAAACAATTGCGCTTGTGCTGGTCTTTTAGTGAATGCTTTGACAATACCAAATGTTGTTCATATTTTACGATTAGACCAAACATCGATATTAATTAAACAAACAATGATTCAAATAGTAAAAGAATTAAAAATAAAACAAAATGAAATGATTCGATATTTGAAAACGAATCCGATCTTAGCTACAGCTGATTGGCTTCTTGTACAAAAAGCGATTCATATACAATCACAGTTTCTTAACGAAAAAGAAGAATTAACGAAAGAAAATTTACTGCTAAGACGTCATATCGATCAAATAAAATGTGATAATTGTCAAGTGCATGTTACAATACCGATATCAAAATATGAATTTAAACAGACATTGGAAGATTGTCGAGTTCGAATTTTAAGGTCAGGCACTCAAATGAGTTCTCATGCTTGAATTCAAATAGGATGGATTTATGTTTTAGATTGCAAAAGACACATTTTTGGTTGAATTATTACAATGGTCAATTATCATCCTATGGTCTTCATACATTAAATTCTCTATGCGATAGAGCTATTGATACACCGAAAAAATGTATTGATTTAAAAACTATTAAAGCTTATATTGTTGGTAAAAGTCGATTACGATCTTTACTGAATTTCATACGTAATTGTACACGAAAATGGCAAAAATATTTGCCTTGGTATTATTCCAAAGTTCAAAAACGTCAACGTAGAACTAATATTAATGAACATGAATCACGAATATCTATTCTGCAAGTTCAACATTGGTATATGAAATTATTTACGTGTTTGCCGATTTCTTTTTCTATTATGCTTATCGAATGTGCGACTATTGCATATCAACTTCATACTAATCTTTGTAATAAACTATTGAATAAAAATCTCGTCAAATTAAATTTAGCATTAGAAATTACTTCTAGTCTGCTATTGATATTTGATTTCATGCAGATCTATTATTGGTTCTATCCGTACATAAAACAGAAATTTCATATTTCTATTCTTCCTTGGCTAATTCTTTATTCATTTGTTATTACGTGTCGGTGTTTCAGTTGTATCATTTATTTAATCATATCAACAAGTGGACGAACAAAAAATTTATGCATTAGTTTTTATATTCTAAAAAGTTTAAGTTTACTCGAGTGTATTGTTCTTTGTTTATTTCTTATTGAACCACTTCAATTATTTGTCGATTATATGCTCAATCGATATGTCAGCATTAGTTATGATATTGGATTAGCATATATTTCTTCCGAAGAACAAGTTCTTAAAATAATACATCGATTAACAGATAATGGTAAAAACACTTAGCAAACATCAAAACTACTGAAAGGTTCAGAAAGCTTTCTCTTCATTTGTATTGACTCTCACAGTGAAGTATCTATATTCAAAATGGACTGCAGGCAAATCTCAGCTCCGGCTAGTCATACTTGTAGGAAAAAATATCGCACTATTTAATTTTCCAATAGGCAGTATCCCACATGGAAAATTAGCGTTACAACAGGAACACGTTCTTTTTTACCTTTCCAGTGTGTACCATTCTCTACTATTTTTTGTAGAAATTATTCGTATTCGTCTACGTGAACTTTCCCTTCATCATATAAAAAGCGTTTTAAACGACGTGTTTACAATGCAAGAAGATCATCCTGGCACTGTCATTAGTATAAAAACAAATCATACACTCAATCTATTATACAATACAGCCAAACAAGGAATAGCTCAAATGCGTTCTCGAGGAGTTCTCGATGGTGATGATTGTAATTTACTTGAACAATCATTGAAAAACATGCATCTTTATCAACATATTCCATCGACAATGCCACCTTCGTCACCTATGATTGCTATTCATAATTTATCGTGGCTTTTTTCTAACGAACAATTGAACACCGATGAAACGCATGAAATTGAAGAAAAACTTCTTCGAGCTTTGCCTAATGAAAACGCCGAACGTTTTACAAACGAAACACTTATACATCCACGGACATTTTCTTGGCAAGATTTCTTATGGCATAAGAACGATAAAATCCATGGTGTCTATTTAATAGTTCATGGTATTGTTGAAGAATGGAAACTTGATCCGTATGATATCGATGCGCATCATAATGAAGTACGTTGGAAAGAAATCAACCGAACAAGACAAGTAAATTTAACACCACAACAAACATCAAGTCCAAATACTCATAAACATGTACATTATTCACCACAAAATCATCAATCTACATTGAAAAATAAACTGCATATGAATGATTTATCAGTTGTAGAAACATCAAAAGGGGATGAATTTTTTACTAGTGCATTATCCAAAGAAGGAAGAGAGATTGACTCGTTGGTGAAAGTTCAATCTATAAGGTAAAGACTGTAGGCGTTTGAAGTTTTTCGTTGGTTAATCGCACTCTTCATCTTCAGTACACTGGACGACGACGAAAACCTTTTACATAGAAATACTACATGGTACAAGAAATCGTCTGAGGATGATCGTCTACGATCAACAGCAGGTGTTCGAGTTGCATTTGAAGATGGTTTCTATATACGTTGGCATCATTTAATGACAAATCCAATGAACGAAAAATTCAAAGACGATTCGACAATAGTCGATGATGATATTCATCAATATTATCATCGTGCGCCATCTGAAGAAAATTTCGATGAACTCTTCAATGAAACATTTGATAAATATCGTCAAATACATCCAGCAACTTCCGAACGTGTACATCGTCGTTATTCTTACAGTTCAGGCGATTGTATTGGCCTCCATGATTTCCTAATTAGTAACGGAGAAAAATATGAATCAACTGGAAAATGCTTAACTAATGTTACTCTTTTTTTTATTACAAAAGAAAAATTGTTCGATATTTTAAATTCATATTCATTATGGAATGTTCTATGGCTTGAAATAGGTATTACTTTAATTTGACTTCTTACGAGACACGAATACAATTATGAATTCTTCCATTCAATTTATAGGTATACGATTAGCTTTACGTATTTTACCGGAAATTCGAGCATTTCAACATTCGAGAATAAAACAGAGTAGTAATATGCCCATAGCCGATTCTGATTTAGTTAACAAACGATTATTGAATGCAGGTTTACTTATTTATAATGAAATGACATGCAGTTTAGACGATGTTATTCATCTTAATGAAGATCTATTTCTTATTGCTGGTTCTGTTCGTAATCAGATTACTAAATGTGTCTATGAAGCGCCAATATTTATAGAACGAAATTTAAGTAAACAAGGTTTAAAATTACTTGATGACCGTTCAATTACTAAAATACTCGTTTTACCAGCAACAATGAATACGGATAATCTTTTCGTGGATAGTTCATTAATAAATCATATAATTGATATTGAAACGAAACGAGATTTTAATCAAACACCAAATGATTCTGAACAGTTTAACAAAAGACAAATGAAGCTTTTGGAACATAGGACACACGAACGATTTTCAATCCACGAGGATAGCCCATATCCTCAGCAAACTGTAAATATCGATAGATCATTGTCAACTATTGATAATAAATTTTAAAAATCTTAGAGTGTGGGTGGGAAAGTAGTTTTAAATGATTATGGGAGACATTGATACTTTTAGTTATTCGTGCCTCTAAAAACCGGGGATGGTCGGGTACATTCATACGTCTACGCAAAAAAATATATGAAGAAGGAAAACGTTCTCAACGACTCGTTGAATTATACTGTTGCAGTGTTATTTTGATGCCTATAGAATAGTTATTTTAATTCTATGATCGTTGATGATATTCTAGACGAATGTCAATCAGCAAAGTGCTGAGTTTTGAAGGTGCAAGCCTTTAGGAAAACAAAATTTTACTCAGTATGATAACAAATCTTCTTTAAATATCGAACATCGTTCATTCATAAACACAATTTGTTATATTTTCTATAATTTTTAGCTGCGTGTTGTGTTTCGTGTATTTGATCGTCTAAATTAAAGCATAAATAATAATTCTTAATTATTATTATTATATATGTAGAAAAAGTAATACAAACCTGCAGCACCCAACTCGAGTTCCGATGCTTTGGTGTGAATTCTTAGCTATATTTTCTGCTAAACTTCTTTATCTGAGCCAGAAACCGTTTCCTTCACTTTTTCAGAACCAGCTTTGCAGGCATCACTAATTTTGTCCATTGTTCGAAAATGGAATATGTGATTCTTACTTGACCTTTATACACACTCGTCGAATTCTATAGGTGAATGTTTGTTTTTCAACACAACAGAAATACGATTTATGAAGAGAACGAGTCGAAAAAATCTTTTCGTCGCTCCTCAACTTTCACTTGATAATAACGTGAAACGGGCGTACTCATCGTACGAATTTCTTTATAATTTTTTCCTTGAAGGTTATTTTCAGTGGCAATTATTGAGTAAAAAGATTTAATGTCTGTCATTGACATTGATTCACAGTTGATGATATGGGAAAAGTAAATCAGTGTCGAGTCCGTTATCTAAACGAGAACAACATCAGAATGAAACACTCAAATGCAATACCATTTGTATTGACTGCTTGTTCGCATGAGTATGAGATGAGAAGCGCCACGTGCTTTTGCACGTCATTTCACCAAGATAAATGAATGAGTATTGCACTAGTTAAATGCAATCTACAGAGGAGCTAATCTCTTTGCGTGATTGGTGTGATCAGGAATAAATGTTAAATTTTAATTCTGTAAAGATTTTTACAACACAGTTTCTTCAGGTACTGACGAGCAATTTTAGGATGTAGATGCCTTTTCGAAGAAGAATCTGATTGATTTTCTACTCCTTCTAGATATCAATGATCAGATTACGACTAAATAACAATGTGAGAAGAATCGAAAATATTGAACTACTGTAACTATGAATATTTTCTCAGTAGCTATTTTATATCTCATTATTCGTGTTAGATCAAATTGTGAACATGAAGATCAACGAGAAAATATATATTTAACGCACATGAAATTTGTCGTTTCAATCGTTCTTTTTCACATCTGACAAACAACAACTTATTACAAATAACTAGGATCAAAAAGAATGTTCATTTATTTTTTTGCCAGTCGCATCGATCGTTCAGTGTCTCTCTGCAGTAGATCGATCTGTTTGTCGTTTATTTTGAACCACAAATGGATTCGGTGCATTAGGTCCGACATCAGCTAATGTATGATTGACTCTAGAAGACATAATTATAAACAATATTGACTGAGAAACGTTTTTTTATCTACTCGCGATGATTAGCTTCATCAGCCCGTACAGCTAAGAGAACATCTCTCATCATGGAGTTTTCTGGTAATCTCCAATAAGTTTTAGCTATTTGTGGTGCTGGTAGATTTGACCATGCCGGTAGTCTACCAGCATCGACATCTTCAATACATCGTGTGTATGTAATGACAGCTTCTTCTTCAAGAAAACCAACAAAACGATGGCATATTCTTGGCGAAATAACATAGGTTAGAAAGAAAGCACTAGAAACAAAAAGCAGGGGCAATCGAAGAACAAAAATAAAACCGGGCAGATATTCTTACTTGAAAAATGCACCTTGACCCAAAAGAACGAATCCACGGAAGAGCCATCCTGGTTGTCGCAATTCTAAAAATGTAAGTAAATGCATTCGTTCGTTTTCTGCTTCGGACAAAAGCGTATGAATCCATCCGTAATCACGACGCATCGTACCTTTGAATATCGAAACTGTTATTCAGTTTTAAGCATGCTTATTACGGCTTACGAAGTGATTTCATATGACGACTCATTCCACCAACCATGCCTGGTACGCCAGCAACGGATTCAAGAAATATGAAACGTCTCAACCATTGCTGTTCTGTCATCGTTGTATGCGTATGTTGAATCGCCTTTGTAGAATTACGTTCTGATGGTGTTGGCACATGCATATAACCAGTAAATACATCGAAAACCAAACGTAATGCTCGTACAGCTGCATAGGCTAGTCGATCATGCCATGATTCAAACTTTTTATGCGTTATTTTGACATCATGAAGTTCTTTTTCCGTGTAAATCTCATGATTCAACATATAATCTGATGGTTCTGTAAAGTACAGAGTGTAAAATTGAAGTCATTACTATCCTTGCTTTTACATACGCTGATGTTGATTTATCGCTTGAACGACGGCTCGAGTATGAGGATGTTCTTCAACGCAAGCCATATTTTTGTCCATCAATGGTGTGCTTGTATGAAGAAAACATCGTGATTGAATAGAATTCACTTGATACAAATACGTAGTCTTCGGTGGCGAATATAAATTATGAAGATTTAATAATAATCTTGTAGTTTTCATTGTAAAATATTTTTGATTACAAACAAAATATATGATTAGTACCAATGGAAGAACGCGCTATTTATATAGGACTGAGTTGTTGATTCATGACGTCATCTGCGTTCTTTTTGTTCTGTGCTCCCTATGATCGAATATGATTAAGACGCTGGGTTAAGGTTCAGATAAATGTACCAATTGCGGAGGCTTCAAGCAGGAAAAAACAGTAAATATACAAAGGCCTTCGAGAAAAATAGCGCCCACTGAAAAGCGAACGAATCGACTGTCGTCTAAACTGGTTATGCTCAGAGAAAATAATTTTCTTCGGTACAAATCAATGCTGTGGAAAGGTGAAAGGTAAGTCTCTTAATTGTACTCGTTTCTTCCTTTTTTTCGATAGAAATTCAACTTCAAGTCTCGAGGGTTTGGCATAAATAATAGAATCAATTCAACTGAGTTTATAGTTATTTATTTTAAAAAAGTTTTATATTTAAATAATTAATTGTAACATCTGATAAAAATCAAAATATCAAACTTTATCATTCGCAGGAAATTTTTTTTTATCTAAGAATATTCTTACGAAAATTTTCAATAATAATCATGAAACACACAGAATCTTTAAGAATAAATATCAACAATATTTTACTTATGAGCAGTAGGAAAATATGAAAAACAAAAGAAATCAATGAGTATATAATCATCATACATTTGAACAATGCACGAAGGAAACAACGAGCAGTTTTCCTAAAGATAGATACACATTTTCTCAGCGATATTAGTTAAATTTTTTAAAGAATTCATCAGCACACATTCGCGCACGTGAGCTAACATCTAATTTCATTTTACTGATTTCTTTATCGATTTCTTCAAGAAAATAAATAATGAAATCAACCAAACGATGTTTATACATATTTTCAGCATGAAAATTTGTTACCAAAAAACTAATATCATAACCCTAAATCAAAAAACACTTTAGATCTATAATAATCATCAATTAAATTTGACATACATTGACAGGTTTTCGACGAAGTATATAAAAATCATCGGCACGTTGCATCATAAAACGCATTAAACGTTTGCAGAGAATTTTTTCTAGATCATCAGCCTAATCAATGAACAAACAGAAAAATCTGATAATAATAAATTGCTGAAAATAAATCTTACTTGTTTCACAGCTACACTTATTCGTACGGAGTTAATAGAGCCTTCAATTAGAATTTGTTCATTTTGATTACGACTAATGACAACAGGATTCAGTAATAATTGTTTCGATGTTCTAATCGAAAAAATGAATTCGAGATGATTTTTGAAATTAACATACTTGACTTCGACTTCAGGCTTATTGTGTCGTTCAACAACTTGTGATTCGAAATTTTCAATACAAAAAGAAGCTTGCAGTGTTGCACGAACAGCATCAAGATATGGTTGATGGGCAGATGCCTAAATTGATGAAATTAAAAATATCACTCATTACACAAGAAGGTAACGTTACTCTAGCAGCAACGGCTTGTGTCATGATGTGTTGACAAAGAAGAACTTGTAGATAAAAGAAAAGCCGCAAATGAATGATATTAAACAGAACAAAATGATATTGTGATGATTCGTTCTTTGCTAGTACCACTTACTTTATTTAATGCATCTTAAATAGCGTCATCTACGCGAAATATTCGTAACTAAATGAAATCTCGTCTTCTCAAGATTTAGTTTTTGTTGAATAAATATCATAGTAGATACAACAATCCGAAACAAAAAGAACAGGTGCTTAAAAAATCAATATCACTATTATATTGTTTTACTTTTCGTCAGTCGGTAATTTAATCTATCCAAGAATGATTTTTTAATTAGACTATAGACACGTTAAACTTTATTTTCATCAGCTCAAGTAGAAATTTACAGGGATTGATGAATAGCGCCCCCTTACTTCTTATCCTATTGCTTGACTTATGAGCTAATAAAATGGTTTCACTTTTTCACCATTGATTGTTGTTCGTTCGCAAGTTCTTTTGCGTATTTAAAAGCAAAAAGATAAGTCATGGTAAGGAACTCTTGAAATATCATTTGTTTTAGTTTTTAAATATTTAAATTTATCTTTTCTAGTCAAATTTGTATATCCTATTTGAACATGCATCGGGCTATGCATTGTTTCGTGTCCGTGAATTCGAAGAAATTGGTATGAATCTGCCACAAGTAGAAGCCAGTGTAGTTGATTTATCAAAATTTGCAACTGTCGTTAAACTTGTGGGATTTTATCCATTTCAATCCGGTGTTAATGCACTTGACAATATAAATGCAGTATCCGAAGGTTAATGTTTTTGTTTTACTAGTTTTAGACCGATCCCTAGGCTATTTAATATCGAGGCTTTTCATGGAAACATGTGTTCAGTATTAGGAATATGTATACTTTCACCTAACGCTTTTTTTTATCAAATATCAGGAAGCAGAAAATAAAATCTTACTTTCTATCGAAGATTTTACCATTACCATAAATACTTTCTATTAGATTGTCTTCTATTTTGATATTTACAGGTTTAGTTCATGATGATCTTCGAACATTTCTTGATACAAATTTACCGAAAGAAAAAAAACGTGCTAAAATGATTCTTGGTGTTGCTGATTCACGTATAGCATCAGCTATAAATGAACATTTTTCCATCTCGTGTCAACATACTGGAGTTATACCTGAACTTTTACGAGGTAAAATTTAATAACAAAAAAATCAATTATTTCTCTATTGTCTGTTTTAAGGTCTACGGCTTCATTTTCCTAATTTGGTCAAAGGTTTAACCGATCAAAATCAAAGTAAAGCACAACTTGGCTTAGGCCATGCCTATTCACGCGCTAAAGTTAAATTCAATGTTAATCGTGTTGATAATATGATTATACAATCCATCGCATTACTCGATCAACTTGATAAAGACATCAATACATTTTCAATGCGTATTCGGTAAAATTAGGCCTTTTTGCTTTTACTAAATACGTTTGTTTATCATATAGAGAATGGTATGGCTATCATTTTCCAGAATTAATTCGAATTATCTCAGATAATTATACGTATGCTCGAGTTGTGTATTTGATGAAAAATCGAAAAGAATTTACAATCAATCATGAAGAAGAATTGGAAGCAATTACAATGGATAGCGGGAAAACAGCGGCAATTTTCGAAGCAATGAAAACGACTATTGGTTAGTTGAGGATTTTTATACTTTCGTTTTAGAATTTATTTGAGAATTTAGGTATGGATATTTCACCCATTGATCTGATCAATATTGAATCATTTGCTAAGCGTGTTATTCATTTGTTTGAATATCGAAAGAGTCTACAAGAAGTAAACATTTTATTTTAAACTATTTATAATTGATTTCTATGTTTTTGTTTTAATAGTATTTACGAAGTAAAATGGGGCAAGTAGCTCCAAATTTAGCTAATCTAATCGGTGAACAGGTAAGAATGAAGCCGGAAAACTATGGCATTATAGACTTTGTTTTGCATACTATCGAGTCACATTATCACGGAAAAACTCTTATATCTTCATAAAACGTATCAAAAGTTTTTCTTTCTCGAAATGATTACAAATGAATTTTTGCTATGATATGTGTAAAAAGAAGATGACATTATTATAGGTTGGCGCACGTCTTATTGCACATGCTGGTAGTCTAACCAATCTTGCCAAATATCCAGCATCAACCATACAAATTCTAGGTGCTGAAAAGGCTCTTTTTCGGTAAGATAAATATTTATTTTTGCTTTTCTCATAATGAATTTTATCTTCTGAACATATAGTGCATTGAAAACAAAAGGTAATACGCCAAAATATGGACTTATTTATCATTCATCTCATATTGGCAAAGCAAGTGCACAAAATAAAGGTCGTATTTCACGCTATTTGGCTAATAAATGTGCGATCGCATCACGTATTGATTGCTTTTCTGGTTTGTGATTTATTTTCTTTGAAACGCATTCTGTTTTTAAATTCATTTTTTTTAAACTGTCAGATATTCCAACTGCGATTTTTGGTGATCATTTAAAACAGCAAGTTTCTGATCGATTGAATTTTTTCGATAGCGGTAAATTACCAGCAAAAAATGTTGATGTAATGCAAATAGCTTTGCAAGAAGCTGAAGTAGAACGTGAACAGATTATATCGAAGGAAAGAAAACGAAAGAAGAAAGAAAAGAAACGTCGTAAGCAAGCTCTTGCAGCTGCATCACTCGACGCAGAACAAAAGAATGCGGTTATGCTCGACGTAACAGTTTAACCATTTTTTCCGTATTACGATATATTGTTGTTTGTTTCTATATATCGAAAAGCAATACGCTTTTGTTATTTGTGTAGTTGAATATGTAGAATGGAAAAATAAATGAATCTACTACGAATAATGATTATTTCGAGTTCGATCTCACTTAACAAGTAGAATTTATTTCTCTTGGCATATAGAGCTACTGAAAAATTATGTGAACGAAATTTTTTCTACCAGATAGGCCGAATAGTTCTGTCTGATGCACAAAACGATAGAAAATGCATGACTATTTATGCATTAATTTCATTTTTTTCTTTTTCTACTTGTTGAATGCTTTAGTTTGAAAATAGGCAAATAAATTAAACTTCAGTTAAACGTGAAAATAAACGTAAAGTGAGTGTATTCGATGCAGTCATGTTTAAATTGGACCTAGTTTTGGACTTGCATTCCATTGTTTACATGGCAATTGATTTTGTTCGCTCATTTTAACAAATGTATATGAGAATAGACCAGATAATGTAAGTAAAATACCAATGAACTGTTTAAAATTAAGATCATCTTTGAAGATAAGAAAACCGCCAACAAGAATTGAAACCGTTTTCATATGACCAATCATATTGTATGTCAATGCAGATCTATTAGAATAAATATATACTCCTCGTCTATGATAAAGCATTCATCGACTTACGTATTTTTAATAACCCAATAAACCGATAGATTAACTGCAAAAGCTACAATACCAGAAGCTAGAATAGCAACAAATGCTGTTTGCTTTTCTTCATATGTGGTATAGGTTGGAAATTCTTCCATGAAGAAAATAAAAGGTATGAGTAAAACAGCCGATAGAGGTGCTTGATAGAAAAGTAATTGTTGAGAATTCATTTCTAATTCTTTTACACGTTCCGCAATCCAAACTTGATAGAGTGACGCTGATATAACACCAACCGATGCTACGACTGTACCAAATAATTCTAATTTAATATCATTAACTGAATGCGTACATACACCAATAACAACCGGTATTAATGTTGCAATAACCATTCTCGAATAATGTATTTTATAATATTGCCATGATAGAAGTGCAACCACAGGTGTAGTTAAAACTTTAAATAATTGATACGTACCGATTGTATTATATTCTAACGATAAATTTGTAAAAACAACGAACGCACAAAATGATATAGCTAATGGTAAGACTTTTATTAGGGAAACCCTTTTACGCACGAATGTATTCATTTGTAAACAAATAACTAAACCAAATGATGTAAATACCATCTGTATGGCTGTTAGTGTCATTGTTTTTACGTGACAATGTGAAAAAATATATTTATTAAGAAATATAATACCAATCGATGATAGAATATTACTAGAACAACCTGAGACAACACGAATTTGTTCTTTTAAAATATGTGCTGCAGATAGTGACGCAGGTTTATTTAATGAATACGACGAAAATGGTTCATGCTTAACCTTTTGGAAACAAGAAAAATATCAAAATATATACGTATGTTTCTACATTAAACCGATTGAACCATGCAACATTTATCATCACCATATAAATTCAAGCAAATATTAGTAAAAGCTCGAGTTCAAAAGCACAGTTAAAATATGCAAGTAGAAAATTAATTTATTTCGATTAATAATTAGCATTTGTTCTTACGTTTTGTACCATCGTGTGAAATTTCAATTCAAATATAAAAATGCAAACAAACAAAAACAAAACGCAACGTTATTGTTTGCTTATTTATGCATACGAAAGACAATAGAGAAGTAATGTGACAGAAATAAATGATTTCAAAATAAAAAAGAAAATACAACGTCAGAAGAAAGAAAAGTAGAGCCTATGTTAGACGAGAAAAAAAGAAAGACATATTCATGGTTACTAGGTCGATTTGTACGCATCAATTACTTTCTCAAGGATGACGAAACTCGTTGCTATTTCTTTAATACACATAGGTGTGTATGCGATTGAAAAAGAAAAGAACAGCTGTCATATCGATGAACACACATGCTCGGTTGTATGCTAATTCATCGGGCGATTTCGGTGACTATTAGAAAAGAAAAAGAAATTTAACAATTAATTTACTGAAATAAATGCATCAAATTTTGCGACAAACCTCATATTAGTCGTAGAACGATTTGTAGGCATATTTAGATGGTAACCACGTTGTATTTGCGAATGAATAAGTTGTTCGACAGGATTACGCGCGTGAGCTCTATCATGTTTTTCTTTGGCGAGTTTTTCTTCACAAGATGGACAACAAATTTTACCGAAACCTATTGAAATCGATCTTGTGTTTGCTGATTTCGAATTGAACTCAACTTACGAGCTTGTTCTATTCGACCATATTTTCCACTACGCTTAGCTACATCCATAACAGATTCATGTCGATCAAATGTATATACATCAAGTTGAGCATCATGACTTATCAAACATGAAAAACATTCAGCATGTCCTCGGCTAGTGGCTAGATGAGCCATAGTATAACCTTCATCTAATGAAAAATTATTTGTTTTTTTACATTTATCGATGTTATGATTATGTCAGGTTCGATATGCTCGAACGAACTGGTTTTATTTGTTGATAGTATAAAAATTTTTCGGTAAGAAAGTCAGTGCTCTATCAGGTTTTGAAAATCAGTAGAGTTTGTTCTCATAGGCGATAATAGCTATAAGTTCTAGTGACCCGCATGCGAACAATTTTGAGTTTAGAAATCATGTCGTGAAGACGAATTAGTACATAAACTTTTCAAACTTACTATCTGGTTGATCTATATCGATAAAATTCAATTCGAGTAAATAATGTAATACTTTGATGGATCCAAATAAAGCTGACTGCATTTTATAAAAGAAAAAATGATAAACACAAAAGCATAAAAATCCATTGATCTAACCGTATGAATAGGTGTTCGACCGAAATGATTTTTCTTTTTCAATAAAATTCGATTCATTTTCCAGATTAGCTTAATAGCATCAAGCTGATTGTATTCGCTAGCTTCGTGTGCAATTGTATTTCCATTGACATCTGTTGCATTTAAAGTTAAATTTGATTGAAGAAAAAAGGTTAAAACATTATTTGATCCGTGTTTAGCAGCATAATGAATCGGTAATTTTGATTCATTATTACTTATAGATAAATCAATATGGTTTACATTGACGAGATACTTCAGACATTCGACATGATTATGCATTGCACTATAATGTGCAGCTGTTAGACCAAAATTATCTTGTGCATTTACTTCACAGCCTATGAAAAGATGAGAAACAATTTGAATATTGAATTCAGATGACAGCATGCATAAGAAATAGCAGCTATATCTTATTTTTACCTTTTTCACAAAGTACTCGAATGCATTTAATTGTACCATGGCTAGCTGCAACATGTAGAGGTGTCATGCCTCGAGAATCTCGTTGTTCCAGCAATGCACCATTGTTAACGAGTTCCAATACAAGTTCTCCATTACCGCTAACGCACGCTTCGTGTAATGGTGTGCGTTGTAAAATATTTTGCGTGTGTACACTTTGACCTCGCTAGAAGAAATAAAAAAGCAAAAAATCCATTTAAAAAATGATCGATACGCCTATAATAAAACCTTAATTAAATCTCGAACAACATCAAGATGTCCATAGGAAGCTGCTTCGTTAATAACTGGTTGAAATGATTCTTTACATTTAATAACTTGGCTTGGATCATATTCGCCTTTGATGTCTCGTTGTGGTGGTTTTTCTATACTTCGACTTGATGAACTATCGTCATCGATATTATTCGTTATTTCACTCAGATTCGAACTGATGCGATCTAATTTGACCGATCTTTCGGCTGGTGCTGGTTCTTGTTCATCATTTACTTCGTCCTCGGATGTCGTCGATGCATTATCATTATCACTGCGTAATAAAGCTGATGTATCATCCGATGATGTTGATGACGAACGAGATGTTTTCGATTGCTCATCACCGTTAGATTTATCTTTATCACTATGAGTTTGTGACGAATGAGCAGTTTTCGGACGAGATGACGACGATGATTTTTGACGTTCTTCAGTTTTGTCACTCGGACTCAATAATTCTTGTTTTCGTTGAATAACTTCAGGCACCGATTGCTCATTTCCTGATAAACCTTGCTCGTTAGATTTCTGTTCATCGAAATCAGTAATATCTTCAACACTTGGTGGCATATGAATTTCTTGTGATTGTCGATTATAATCAAGTGATGAATCAATGCCCAAGACATTATCATTCTCTTTAGACGTTGAAAGTGTTTCCGAAAATCCAAAACCAGATTTATCAACTTGGCCACGATCATTTGAATCCGGATCAGTCTTCAAATAAAGACAATTAAAAAATATAGAGACTTTCTCTATGATCTTCTTTAAAACATACCGTAGGTTTACTTGATTCGAGTTCTTCTTCATCATCTTCACCTTCACTATCTGTCCCATCAGTATTATCAATATCATCTAGTTCAGTTAAATGACTATCAACAAGTCGCGCCATATTAACTGATGGTGTTGTATCGAATTTAACTGATTGTTTTCCACTAATCGATGATATTTGTCTATTGTTTGTTTTTGACGTTGATAGTTTCGAAGGTTTTGTATATTCAATAAATTTAATTTCATCATCAGCTCGTAGTTTATCGACATCTTCGTCGACTTCTTCGTCGTCTTCATTCTCAATACGAACATCTCTGATTAGAGCAGCTATATTTGGATTTCGTATGCCGTATAGATTCGATGATACAGGTACTCTTGCTGCAACGTGATTCTTTAGTTTGTATCTATCGTTTTCAATTTGTTGCTGCAATAAATGATCGGTCACACGACCATGTCTACGACCTTGTTCATCTAGGTAAACAACAGGTTTAAATGTTTCAAGTGGCCCTCGTAATGGTTGAATAAATAAATGATCTTGTACACAATTCGAAAACGATGAATTAGATGGTGTAATTAATTTTGGTCGTCGTTTATTTCGCACCAGCCTCGCCATATGAAAATACTACAATGAAATTGGAAAAATTCAATCAAAAAAAGTTTATTTTCATGGGAATAGAAAAATCTAAGCTAAGAAGTACAATTTAGGATAAAAAAAAGATTGTTTAATAAAATATAGATCCATGTTCAACTTTTTTTTGCAACATTTTCTTATCGTTCAGTCATAATTTGTAACGATGTGATTACCATAGAACAGCATGTAGCGACCTGTAACAACAAATCATAACATTCTTTTTTTAATTTTAATGCATAGCTTAACTACATGTCATGCAGGCAAATTTTCTATCGATCGATAAAATAACATCATGAAGGACTAAAATATTATACGTAAACACCACGCAACTGAAAATTTCTTACTATTTTTCTTTGATTTCAACAATCTATCTATTCATAATATTAATTTGCCGATGAATGTAAATTAATCTGTAAAAGAATTATGAAATTGTTGTATAATTGTATTTTCCCAAGTGAGAGCTGACATCGATCGTATGATGTCATTATCAATGACTCCATGTGCGATTTGTTGTAGAGAAAAGCATTTTTTTCTTTTATTTAAATTGGTAAAATCATCTTTTTAGTAATCATTGCAACGAATTATGTGAAGTTCTTCTGCTACGTCATATGATTATCCATAAATAGGATTAGTCTTGTTAGTATACTGACAAGAAGATTCTCTTTCTCTAAAAATGAACTTCTGCAAACTCAATTAAAATATTATACGGTAGTGGAATCTCGGTTTATTTGACATCAATAGTTCCATAGTCAAGAAAGTAAAACTCTTAGAATGTTTAAGATACCTCAATGTTTATCGAAGATCTATGTATATTTCCTCCATTATCGATCAATCAGTTGTATCTTATATGTTGTGCCGAAAATTATCCTAGATCGTACGTATCTTTTTATTTGGTACCTTTTCTACAAAAATAAAATCTATATGGATGTGGAATGAAGTGTTCACCTCCATTCATGACAAAATTCTTATAAAACCTATTGCTAAGCAACAAGTAGCATTGGAATAATAAGACAAAATAGAAACTTTATATAATTTTAGAAATTTATGTTGCATAGTCATAGAAAATTAGTGTAGCCATTTTTTTAGCATTTAAAATCATTATTGCATTGCACTACAGTAATTATTTGATTGGTAAATTTTTATAAGTCAACAAATGACGGTGACTCATTCATAGTGAGCAGGCAGAGCAAAAAAAATATGCGTTAATATCAAATGCACTACCTATGGCGCCCTTGCAACCATTGAAAAATTACACGAAGTTATATCACAACCAACTCTACACTAAAAAAGTTTTAGAATGGATAAAAGAGTAAATGAATTCGACCACCTTTTACTTACATTCTCTTTAGATTGCAAATATAAGGTCTATCTTAAAAAAATAAAATAACTTTAAACCAAACACAAGTTTGTATATAAATTACTGATACCCATGATCAAGTGCCGCAAAAACAAAATGCTGAGTACAGTTAGAACTCGTATTAATCCGTACACAACGTTCAGTTGTCTACAATACAAAGATGTGTATAACTTTGAAAAATCTGTTCGAAAATCCCACAATTTCCAGAAACGTTTACGTATACTAATCCGATCATGCTCAATGAAACAATATGTGTTCACTTTCGATTGTTAAAACAAATCACACCCAAACCTACAACTAGTCTAACCCATACAAATCGAAACAAATCCACTCGTCAGTAATATTCATAACGAGAATATTTCCCGCAAAAGTTTCTGATACTACAAAAACTAGGAATCCTTATTGCTACCTCAGCTGTGCAGTAAAATAGTCTTTGCCTCTTGAAAAACAGTATATTTCATAGAAACATAGCTCTGACCATGCAATACCAATATTAATACTGCGATCAACTACTGGAAACTTTTTCCAACTTGAACATAGCATCGTTCGATAAAGCTGGTTCATTTGTGTATCAAGATGATCTTAACATCTAATGAAAATGAGTCAAACTGCCACAGAATTCGAATTAATCTTAATAACTAGCAATAGAATCACTTAGTACTGCATAATTTCTGCTTAATAATTAATGGTACCAATCGATAGAGGCATTTGAGACGTTTATTATAATGATGTTTCAAGATTCGAAAGGACTTTCAGAAATCTGCACAAATTAAAATTAATCTTAGTAATTAAAAATATCACCACTTATCAGAGGAAAACTTGTGCTTACGAATTAATGGTACTTATCAATATAACTGGTTGAGATGTTTATTTAAAAACGTTTAGAACATGGGAAAAGTCTGTAAAAAATCGGCAGAAATTTCAAATAAATGATGCTTTTAGTAATACTGTGAGCTTTTGCTGGAAAAATGAGCATTTACTTGCGAATGAAACTGGTTAATACAGTTTTATAGGATGCTGTTAGAACTTCTAGTTATACATTCGTACAATTTGTCTCAAGCGCACAGTATTTGATACTCACTGCGTGTATTCGTATAGCGAAACCACCAATCAAGAAGTTGTGCTAAATAATGGACGATATTAATCGGTCGAAATGTTACGAAGAATGATTTAAACAATCGGAACATTTGTTTTTCACCCATAAAAATGCATAAATTTTGTTGTAATGATATTTTAGAAGTAAGTGTAAGTATGATTTTATTTTAAAGAGTACTTTTTTTTACTAGAAAACGTGCAATTAAAAATGGAAATTTTCATGCTGTGATCATTAGAAAATGGGACAAAATTGGATTGAGATTTTCAAGATGAATTTTTTGTTTTTTAGCGATTTGTGCAGTGTCGATATACATTTTTTAGATAGTGTTCAATTTAGTTCATCATAGGGTTGGTTCGAGTAAGTGCAATGCAAATTGAACTCAATTAATTCTTGTGTTCGTTTTATTTATTTTGTTGCGATAACATAGGAACGTGCGAAGAATGCGCAATAGATACCACATGACGTGGTGTCATCCTGTTGTCAATCATGAAGTTCGGATACTACTTTCCAGTTGGTAAATTGATAGGAGATTTTTTTGAATAAAAATGGTGTGTTCGAAGTAATTGAACAATATAATTTTTATATTTTACACACGAACCCGAGTTAGATGGCAAAGAATCGAGAAATACTATTGGTTTTCTTTTTTTTATCAATCACAACTAATATCATTATTTCTGCTATTGTTCGAAATCCACGTAAACAGTACTTTAAAAATGATACTGAATCAAAAAGAACGATGCCAGTCGTGAGCGTCGTCGTCTTGTATAGATGAGCATTCAGTTCCTATTTTGGTTCGATCAAATAAATATGTCTGTTGGATTCAATTCATGCGGTCCCACTTTACATGGTTCATCGCGATGGGACATGTACGTATTGAAGGTATCAGCTAAAATGAAAGAATATAAATTGTTGTTTTCTTTCCAATCATTGGTTTTGTAGCCAAGTAGCACTTTTTGATACGTGCTTGTCATTAGAAGATAAAATACAATCTCTACCAAATATGTGGTTTTCTAAAACTGAAATGAAAAATTATTCTGTAAACGAATACTATAAATCATAAATAGTAACTTACCGTCTTTACATTGTAAACACGTGTAAACTCCACCATAACTCCAAGAGAGTAATTTGGTGTTACCAGAAATATATTCAAGTGCAGCATCAAACATCATTCTGACATGAGAATTTTCGTCACGACGATAAAATTGTTCACCATATTTTGCAAATGTGTAATAATGATTATTGTCTTCTTGTTTTTCAGTGCTTACCATTATTGATTTTAATTGGTATTTGAAATATGATGGACAGCATACTAATTGTGGATAAGCATATGTAAACATATTCAGGTAATTTTGAATAAAAAATTCTGTCGATAAGACATTATTATTACTATTTTTTCTATATTTTTTTGACGTAAACGCCATAAATGAAGTATCTGGTAATTGTACAATATCTCTCCGATATATTTTTGCATTCTTTTCCTTAATTTCTTTGATAAAAAAAATTGTAATGCCACATCAGTTAATGTTACATTTTCAGCATGCCATTGACAACATGTATATGATTCATTAAAAATTGTTAGTACATCAATAAATTTACGTATTTTATTTAAAAGAACATTTGACCTATAAGTTGAATAATTGGTATATGTTCTTGTGTGTTGGCAATATACATTTTCGGACCATGTTTACGAAAATCTCCAATGTATATCACATAAATATTGAATTGTGATTTGTTCGACTTGAGGGTACAAATTATGATGAGTATTATTATTGGTTTCTGTATCGGATATAATCGTAACTAGATTATTGGCTGAGTTGTGTGCATTTGACGAGGAGCAAAAATTATTAAGCAATGTTTCAACGAGACAGCTATTTGATAAAACTAGTTGAATTGATGAATTTAACCAGCTCAGTTGATTTGGAGAAAGCATTGGGTGAGGTTTAAATTGAAATGTGTTTTTGCCTGTTGACACTAAAAAGCAAATTAAATAGTTTTTTTTAACCATACGTTTCTTTTTTTACATAGGTCAAAACCTATCTAAATGATTCAAATATGTAAAAAAACAGTCTTACCAACAACTACATCATCGGCTTTAGATTTTATTTTCAGAGCTTTTTTTACTTGAGCAACAAGTGATACTTTCGGTTTTTGAGAATAAATGCTTGTAGTAGTAACTGCTGGTGGGCCACGTTTATTCCATGGTTCTTCAGCTAGTAGTTTCTTTGCTCGCATACTCCTGTTTCGTGTTAAATTAAGTAGATAATGGCTGGAATAATTTATTTCAGTTTGTCGAATATTAGAACCAAGTATTTGCACTACTTGATCAATGCGAGATGATACTTCGCCTTGAAGCACCGTATGTTTAATTACTTTTAATCGAGATTCCGATATACCCGTAGTTCTACTGTTGTGATAACCATAACGTTCTAAGTTTCCCATCAACAAATTACTCCAAATGGGTGCCACAGACAAGTATAAAGAGAGAATGCATTTTAAATAATCAGGATTGTAATATGGATTTTCATTTGCAAACATTGCACATTTTGTTTTTTGATCATTGAACATACTGGTAAAATAGTCACAGAAAGGACTCTCACTTTCATCACAGGCATTTTGTTCACTAATGCTATTTTTCATCAATATTTGAGTCAATTATCTAAGCAAGTAAAAAATACATTTGTTTCTATTATTACCTGCATTCCAATTTTAGTATTTTTTTTGAAAAAATAAAAAGGATTAACTTCCACGAGAAAAAGAAGATAAAATGTTTTCTAGGAAAACTTTCAATTTTATTCTTATCTGGAATTCATCCTCCAAAATTTTTTAAAATTTTTAAATCGAAAGTCAGTGTTAAAATATGTATATATTTTCCGGAGAAGGATTCTTTTTTTTGTATTAAAGAGGAACTTATATTTTATTTATCATACCTGATCAAGTGTTGATGAATATTGATATTCACCTTTGGAATCAACTTTAACATTTCTAATAATAAAATTATCCTTGTCAGAATCATTGTTTACATTATCAGCTGCATGGGATAAACAAGAAATAGATACAGAATATGCTGTAATTTGTGTAGGCCTAAGAAGAACAGCACAAATATGTTCCCACATACTAGCCATTTCTTCAACGGTATTTGAATTCACTAATAATGACATAGTCCATAAAACAAATGCTACCTAAACATAAGTGAAAGTGTAAGTAAAACATTAACTAAACAAAATTTACCTTTTTCTTTGTGAAAAATTTTGTTGCTTGAAGTTTTACACTTTTACTAAAATGTGCAAAACAAGAATGAACTACAGTTTTACTTAGATCTTCATTTGTTGCTTTTCTGTTAACGATAATCCAAGAACGTTTTAAATATGCGCTCATCGTATTATCACCATTAAAGAAGCGCATAGCAGTTAGTTGAAAGACTAATGATCCATCTGAATGAACAATTGGTGACCTGGGAAACGGAGCCTTAAATCCATATAAATTTCAATATGCTGCCTCGAGCTCTTGTAACCATTGAACAAGGTCCATGGTTGTATGCGTAGTTGATAACATTGAAGTGATAGGAAATGATGGTCCTGATAAGGTTTTGGTAGTTACTGACCGAGGAGCAATATTAGTAACAGTCAATTCATAATAATAGACTCGCTTTCCTCTACTCATAACGATTCCTCCTGTAGCATCCCACGAGATAGGTACATTACTTCCTACTTTATTCCATAAAATTAGTGCTCCTTCAGTAAAAAGAATCAAACGTAGTGGGCTGATCGTGATTGTTTGTAAGTGTCCTGAGACTCGTTTTCCAACATTTATTACTTTAGCTTGTTCTTCCTTAATTTTTTGTAAACTAGTTGTTAAATCTTTATCAAGCATTAATGAAGTTTTTGCTTCACTACGAATCTTTCGAAGTACATGTGAGGGCTAGAGCCAACTAAATTATAATTTCCAAATTTACGGTTGTTTTCTGTTAAATGACCTAGTTCTTTAAGTCGTAATTGGTCAGGACTTAATCCACTCGTTAATTTTTCAGCAACAGAAAGTCGATGAGTACCACGAATAGGACGAGCTCTTTGTTCTGACGGACTATGAACTATTTTTCCTTTGAAAGTAATTATTAATTCACTATTACTATGTACAGCTGCATGATATGAGCATGTACAAGAAGAAAAATTACATTTTGCAGCAGCACTCATTATAAACTGCTTATTGTTGGATGATTTAATTGATTTGGCAGTTGAATAATGATGATCTTGATACATAAAATATGCACCTATCATTCGCTTGTGATACATATTTTTCAAATAGATTAATCCATCTGGCGTTTCTACAGCGATAACATTTGTTTTTGATTTAGATTCCATCATTAATATTTGAAAGAAATCAAGATCGGATTTGTCAATTTGTAATAATATCGGTTCGGAAGGAATGTTAGATGTGTATTGTCCAGTAATCGCTGGACGATCAAGTAGAGCATCAATAATATGGCGATATTCATCTGTCAATGGCGTAACACCACGTTCAGTTTCATTATGCACACATTGTTTACCAGCTTTATTATTCTCATGTGTTTGTTGTCGTTCTTTATTTGCAGTCTTAAAATGTAAAATAAAATCGCGAGATAAAATAAGTAAAAGAACACCAATAAGAAATTAAAAATTTATTTTTCAGTTTCCACTTGAGAAAGTTTTCGTAATTGTTCTCATTGGAATTCTATTTTTGCAAAAAATTATTTGTAACGAATTATATCGTATTATTGAAAACTATTCGGCATCTCGCATAGTCTAAATCTATTGCTTCCATTAATCTTAAAATTACCTTCTGGTATTCATCCATGACTATATTATCAAAACCTGGAAATAATTTATCTTCATTGGACGTATGAAAATCTTGAATCTCATCCAATTGATGCCAATTCATATTATCTTTTCCGTAGTCTTAAATCATCTATAAATGAACAATTATCGAATGATGTGATGTACATATACATATACTACCCGATATGTAGTCAATGCTATTTCATTTGAATAGACTTCTTTAGTTGGTGAGTTCATTATAAATTGTGGACTCACATTCATTGTGGTGCTTGATTGTATTTTTGGGCTAGTTGAGTCCTTGTTGCAGACAAGACTCATCTCAAACATAGATATTAAAATAATCTCGTCTTATATTCATTTTAATCATTATGTATACATACTTCTTTTAGATTCACAAGTGTTAGAATATCATCTAGTATTTCATTGGCTCGAGCATTTGAAGAATTTAAATTAGTTGCTTGATTAGACTTTCGTAAAACAGTACAGCTGTACAAGTGATCTTAGAGAGAAAAAAGAACTTACAGAATCTATTGTAATTATTTCACTTTGAGAGCAAATCTTGATGACATTGATAATATTACTTAAAGCACTACTACGTCCAGTTTCTTTAGGTACAACTATAGAACAAATAATGAAAATGTAGTAGAAGAAAAAGTTCAGATATTTACCAAGAGGTGAACCAACAGCAAAATCATGTGTAATACTAGTAAAATAAAAAGTCGAAATGATGCTTATTGTTCTTAGCGACTTACATGGGTGAGACATAGATGTTTTCCTTTTGAGAAAAGATGATTTATTACATACTTGCGAACTTCGTCAGCAACACGCCACATATTCGTCTGCCATATACGCGCCAACCACTTTTTATTTTTCTCATCATCTTTTAGCTTTAAGTATGAGCACATAATACACCATACGTTTGGAGCACTAGTTCGTGACTTTTTCGACCACGTTGTAGTATCTAGTGCATCTTGAGGGATCTTGTCAGCTTACTAAAAGCGTCAACTAATTCGTCTACATCAACTGGTCGTTTTAGTGGTCTACCACGTCTCCTTATCATAAAAAATGTCTCCTAACAGTTGACTGATAATTTTATTTACCTCAGCAGAAGCCTGTGTTGCTAATTTTAATTCTAGATTTTCTTTCGCATTTATCTGAGCTTTTGCAACATTTTTCTCACTTGTTGACATTGTTTCTTCAGATTTTTCATTTAGATCATTTTCTATTTGATTGTTACTGAGAATATTCAAGTTTAATTCAATTTACTTCTTAAAAGTCAAATAGAAAATTACCTGTGATTATTTTGTTTAGATGATTCTAGTCTTTTACCTGTTTGATCATGAAAAATATTAATAGCTAAAAGAATTTTTTAATCTACCAAACTTACGTAATGAACGACAAATGCTACGAATATTTAAATTCGATGTGTCATCAAATGTCAATGTTTTTGCTATTCGTCCATCATAGCGTCTTCGTTCAAAAACAGGAGAACGTGAAATATGTAATGGTCGAGTTGCTCTTCCTATTGTCTCGTATTGTTCTGAGGATCTAATTTCATCATTAATAACAGGCAAAGGTGACAGTATTATATCGAATTCATTTGATTGATCAACTGCAATAGAATAGCATACATTCAATCTAACGATCAAAACGGTTTCTCAATCATCCACTTTTAGTTTGATTGATTCCGTTATTTTTTCCATGTGTTATTTTTCTCTATGTATTTTTCCACTTTCGAGCTACTCGTGTCAATAAAATGTAATTTTCCCCTAGTTTAGAATAAAATAAAATCTCGAAATGCATATAATTTGCTTCGAAGTATTTTTTAAATATAAATATTTATCAGTCAAATTTATATAAACAAAAATCATTCATTTCAAAAGCAAATGAAATAGAGAATTCAGAATGACTTGAATATTTTGTATTTTGTTTAGCTATCAAAGCTATTTTATATTTTTATTAGATTATTGAATATTGAGAAAGAATAAAAAAAATTACAAACTATTTTTAATATAAAGATTATAGAATGTTATTTCTATCTTTAGATATTCGCTTTACTTAGTTCTAATTCATATAGAGTTATTACTCTCATTTAAAAGAAAGTGAGTGGAATTTTTTTTTCGACAACTCAAACAATTTTTTTAACGAAATAGGGATGATTCATATTCTTTTGGAGATTCTCCGATCAAAACTATCATCAATGTCTTCTTGGAATGGATGATAGAATTAATCGTTTGATAAGGAAAACTACAATATCAATGGTGATCTTTGGTAAAGAACAAAATTAACATTTTTTTCAAAAAATATCAGATTATATAATTTTGCTAGGAGCTCTCATCATTGGATCTCCAATATCATGTGCAACTACTGAATTACCACATGGAATATCACAACAGTGGGTAGATACCTTTTGTTGGATAACAGATAAAAATGTTGCTCCCATACAAATAATTATTCTCGAGTGTCAACGCCAGTTTTTTTTAATTTAATTTTATTAACTAATTATATTTCAATCTTTTCAGAAGTTATTACCAGTTTACCGTGGTTACTTTGACTTTAGTAATTATTGTTCTCTCTTTTCCCAGCTATATCTGGCATGCAATTCTCGGCAAATCTGGTTATAAAGTAAAAAATATTGCTTCTCTGATATCTGCTACAAAACACACAGTCGGATGTCAAAGAATGGCAAATATAAAAGAATTAGCTAGTCACATTCAAATAACACGGCACTATCATCGTCTACATTGGACTTTCGATGAAGATCTTTAACGTCGATTGTCACATTTGATTTTGATGAAACGCTCAAGCGGTCATACCATACAAGTTTCTCATTCTGCATTATAATTTGATGAATTATGTGACTCATTAATGCTACATAAACCTTTTATTTGTTTTGAGAGTACAGATAAACATATCACAAATATGTGCCGAACCTAACTATGCGACTCTATTCCCAAATTTAATGATTGTATATATGCTCTAGTGATTTCTCGAAGAAATTGTTACTGTAACCGATTGGCTATAAATCAACTCTTACAGTTAGAATTCAAGCTGATGGATTGAATTGAGCCTGTTAATTGATGTTCGGCTTCCATACATGACTCAAACTTAAAACATACATGCTGCATGCTTATTAAATATAATAGAGACTATTTATTAACAATTTGCTTGTGTTGCTATTGCTATTGTTATTGCAGATTGTCGAAGTGCTTTATTCAATTTCATCGTAAATTCTGGTATCAAAATAGATATTTTATACCACTTATGTATATTTTTATCTAGATTTATTATATTATGCCTATACTCGCTATATTTTTCTTACTTGAATACTGTCTTGGATTTAAATATGTGTTTCTTGGTTTACCAATTATTGGAAAGATAAAATCAAAACATAGTAATTTAGACTTTTTTCTTATGATCTAAACTTTTTTTATTTTTATTAGCTTCAGCATTGCTTGATGAAAGCTTTTTTCCTCAAAGAACGTGGTGTCTTATTTCTCGTCAGAAACTAGGTAATTTCTTTTTGAAAAAAAATAACCTCTTCTAACATAAACAAGAGAAGTTTAATTTTCACAAAAGTAAATTAAAATGATTGATATATAAATCATATTGTAGTGATTTGTGTTGATTAAAACATTACTTTGTAGGAGGAATAGATGAGACGTGGGGCGATTGTGTATTACCGATCAATGTATTGAAAAATACAGTGTTTTCGTTACTTCGGTTCTGGCTAATATTTATATTGCTGATGTCAATATGTGGCTTGTTTCAAACGTTGCACAACATGCTTCCATTCAGTGCTCGATCTTTTCTTGGCCATCATCTTCGTGCACGCGATTTATATGACATGAAAGATAATGCAATTGTACATGATTTTATTTGTAAATGTCCACCAGATATTATACTTATGCTTCGATTGTATGAAGTTGAACTAGGAAATACATTGACAGGCCAAGTGATCGGTCAAATTTTTGTGACATTCAAGAAAAACTATGTTTCTCGAGAAAATTCTATTGCAATAGAATTACCATCATTGATTAAATTTCGTTTTGCTTTTATTTCTTCTTATCTCATTATTCATTGTTTTTCTTATTGTATCTTTTCTTTCTTAATAGCAAAATGATACATAATTGATCCAGTCTTTACTTCTTAGTATAGAGATAATCATTATAATATTCAATACAATTTCACACGCATACTATCACTAAGACAACCATGTTCAAAATGTTTTTGCCTTGTATTCCTCTTTACTGATGATTTACGAATATTTCGCCATCTATCGATCATCAAATCATCCAATAGAATCATTACTTTCTTCCTTCACTGTGACCTTTTCTTTTTATCTCGGAAGAAAGTTTCTCGCAATTATTTATAAATTTAGTTATATCACTAATAACAAAAAAGAATAAACTTGAAGCATAAATTAGTGAATAAATTAAAAAATCCTAGACTTTAAATGAATTAATTTTGATGAAAAAATAATCGTATGTCATTCTTAACATGAATTAAATAACGATATTGGTTTTTTTACACTATAATTATCTATTAATTCCTTTGATTAAAAAAATTTCACCATGAATAAAATACAAATAAATTTCAGTTCAATTTTGAATGCAAATCTAATATTTTAGCACATATCTATTTCATGGTTTGAATTAAAAATAAAATTTTAATTATATAAAATATATAATGTTCCATCTAAGAATTGAAAACAAATTATTTTACATCAAACCATTTTTTGTCCCAGATATTAAATGACAAAGAAAATAGAAATATCATAGAAGTACACGAAAAAGCGAAGAAAATTGTAAATACATCAACAGAAAATAAATTATTTATTGTCGACAGGTTAGCAAAAAACTGAAGTATTTTTGAAAACTTAATTTAAAAAAAAAGATTACGCTGGTTTTTATAAAGGGAAAAAATATGCCTAACGATTTTGTCGTTTCTAAATACATTTCTACGGTCATTATCTGATTATGTGTTCTCCTCATTGGAGTGCTGTTGTCCGTGGTACGGATCTCCCGCCTGCGTGCCTTTCGATAGGAATATTAGATCAGTGAGGGTCTTCAAAAAACAAATCGTAATATATTTACTAAGAGAAACTAATAACATCCTATGAAAGGCTTGTAACAATTTCTACAACGAAACTAAAAAAGCAAATAATACATATCAACAGTTATCCAGCACCGGTACTATCATAAGTGCACACCAGCGAGCCGGTCTTCTCCTCACAAGCTGTACCGACCGAAGCATTCCAATCAAGTGTAAAAAGCTCCTCTAAGCGACAATCATCAAACTCTTTGCAGAGAAATTTCGCAATTGATTTAGCGACCAGCAAAAAAATTAATGTATTTTGAGACATTCTGAGTTTACCCCGGTAGTAAAGCTTAAATAGAGCCTGACAAAACAAATAGCCAAGCCTCAAAGTATAAAGGAGTATAGTAAACAGGATCATCAATCAAACTAAGACAGCCATGCACGTCTTCTTACGCTGGTCCTTTCCTAATTTATCGTTTACTGCCACAAAAATTGACACACATCCAAAAAACCACTATAAACCAAAAACGTAATGACACACAGCCAGCAGAACGAAAAGTAGATTAACCACTTACCTTGCCAAAACATCCGTACCGAAATATTAACGAGACAAAATCAGAGTATCGCGACTGTTTCACAGAAAGAGTAACGCGCGATAAAAAACCGAGACACAGCCACGCATAAACAGAGTTCCTGATCACGTGACTGCTCGAAGCCGTTTACAGAACGAAACTCAATGGGTCCGTACAGAAACAATGAAGCCTTTAAGAAAAGGTCATATGCCATACACCACCAATGGATTGCCTATCATTGTGAAACGATCTCAAACGAACTCGTTCCCATTTGATAAAACATTCTACAACAACGATTTTCTAGATATGCTGACATCTTAGCAGGAAATTGTCGCACTAACCATTGCGAGACACGCCTCGCACACCACGTAGCAGCTTCGCACTCACGTCTGGTTGCTCCAATCACCGTGTTTCAGGCATATTTCAGAACGTAACAACGCTGTGGCGTTCACACGCCATGAAACATCACGCAATTCACCTCCTGTTGCACCTGTCAAGTTGTTTCAGGCATATTTCAGGACTTTACAGATTTAAGCCGTTCACACAGCATGAAAAATCATGGAACTCCCGTCTACGTCCAGCTGTGATGTTGTTTGAGGCATATTTCAGAATATGCTAAGGCTATGCCGTTCACAGTGCATGGAACATCATTGAGTACGCGTCTTCGTGCACCTGGGATGTTGCTTGAGGCGTATTTCAGAATGTGCGATAACTATGGCATTCACAGTGCATGAAACATCGTGGAGTTCACGTGTTCAGGCAACTGTGAAGTTGTTGGAGGCATATTTCAGAATGTGACGAAGGTGTGCCGTTCACAGTACATGAAATATCATGGAGTTCCCGTCTTCGTGGACCTCTGAAGTTGTTTGAGGCATATTTCAGAATTTGAAAATTCGAGGACGCTCTCAGTGCATGTAATATCATGGATTTCCCGTCCTCGTGCACGTGTGTTGCTGTTTGACGCAAATATGAGAACCTGATAAGTATATCCGTTCACAGTGCATGGAGCATCATGGAGTTCACGTCTTCTTGCAGATGTGAAGTTCTATGAGGCATATTAAAGAATGTGCCAATTCTATGCCGTTCACAGTGTATGAAACATAATCGAGTTCACGTCT